AGCTATGGAACAAATTCAGAAAATAGTCTGCATAATCGGAATGGCAGTTACATCATTTGAGACAGTTGGGGTCCTATGAGTATGTGGTTGAGTATGAATCAAAGAAATACAGTAAGAGAGACATTTTAACCAAGGTACTATTGGTAAATACAGTAAGAGAGACATTTTAACCAAGGTACTATTGGTAAATACAGTAAGAGAGACATTTTAACCAAGGTACTATTGGTAAATACAGTAAGAGAGACATTTTAACCAAGGTACTATTGGTAAATACAGTCCCAAATGGAATCAAACTTTCACTGCTCCATACAAAATGCTTGTCTTTACATATTTTTGTTTGATTTCTCAGACGCTCTTATCCAGAGCGACTTACAGGAGCAATTAGGGTTAAATGCCTTGCTCAAGGGCACATTAACCGTTTGTTTCACCTAGTCGGCTCTGGGATTCAAACCAGTGACCTTTCGGTTACTGGCCCAGTGCTCTTAACTGCTAGGCTACCTGCCACCCACACATCGGCCTCAACAACCCAGTAAGGACACTGAGCTGATACAGTTCTGTTGAAGTACTACAAGAGTTTAAAATGTTATGTGTGGAGTCTAAATGTAATTTGTAGAGCAAAAAAATAATTTTCTGATTGACATATATTGAAATACACTTTAATGCTATTTAGTGTGAGATAACACTGCATGCATGACCAACCACGTCTGTGACGATTCATTTCAGTTTGTCAGGAAATACATGCTGGTAGATGGTGCAGTCAGTAACACATTATTATGGAGAAAAAATCTGATCATTTTTGTCAGTGACTACATAAGAGTCAATTGAGCAAATACTTTTTACTGAGTTGAATAACGCTCATAGTTTTTCTCAGTCAAGCATTTTTTGGAACTGTGGTTAAATGTACGTATAGCAAAACAACAATGATCAAATGCTTAAATGCTTAAATACACAATGATCAAATGCTTAAATACATTTGTAGATTGTCTGATCATTTTCTGTTTTCGTACCTGGATTGCATATCTTAGATTAACTTTAGCAAAAATGTCAATACAATTGTCATCAATTAATTCAAAATGCACTGTTAAGTGTTTTGTTCACAGAATATCAACACATTGTTTTCATCAGAAGAGAACAGTTTGCAATGTGTTCTCTGTTTCCGGCAATCAGTAAATACTACTGCACAAAATTGTTAATTGTTTTATTTATAGTAAATCAGGTACAATATAGGGAAAGATCTACGCAATCAGGACTGTCTAAGTTTTATGATTTTTTACAACATGCAGGGATGCAGAGAATGAAGTTCAGTTACTTCTAAGTACTCATAAGACAAGTCATCTCCAACATTACAGAGCTTTGGTTTGGTGTGGATTGAGGCCTATACATTCAGTTGTGTTCCTTTCCATTTTCTTTTTGATCAGGAATAATACTTGATTTGATGTGTATGAAATTGTTTGGTAAAGTATGCATAAAAGGAGAGTAATTGTCCATAATTCTGCACCATTTGATAGTTGTATTTCCAGTTTCGATCATCATGATGTAGTAGTGACAGCAAAGAAAATCTATTGACCTACTGGTATTTTTAAAAGACAGTCTAACTTTCTGTTTTGTCAGTTTACACTCAAGAGATATATACAGTGCATTCGGAAAGTATTCAGACCCCTTGACTTTTTCCACATTTTGTTACATTACAACCTTATTCTAAAATGATTTGAATTGTTTTTTTTCCCTCATAAATCTACACACAATACCCCAATGCACTGTATGTTTGTGTTAATTTTTGCAGTAAGTCGTCTTCTCTTGATGAATGAATTTGCAATTTTGACGGTATCATTTAGCTTTGATGAATGTATTTATGTATTTACTGTTTTGCGAACAGCCACAGAGTTCTGTGTCTCGTGAGCATCGTTTTGAAAATAGATAAGGTTCAAAAAAATGCTTGTATGCGATAAGATGTAAAAAAAAAAAAACGTAATGATAATCCCAAATGCTTATTTAAATGTACATGCTTGTGTTCTAAGGCACCAAGTGGAAGGGTCTCTGCTCCAGTCCACGTCATTTCTACACTTCCTCTTTATGCACTAATGAAAACAACTCCTTAAGTGTTTTTATCTCTTCCCTGACAAAATGTTTGTCCTGTGCTCTCAGGCAGCAGAGTGTAACATTAATCAACATAAAAACACTAGTCAGACCTGAAGTGCAGTCTGAAAATTCTGCTCCTCTCTGCCAAAGTGTCTGAACAGATATATCAAAACAAAGCAATTTGCACTGTCATCATGGGCAGTAGAACAAGATCTCAATGAAGTACAGTCAAACTATACCCTGAGTGGGACAGTAGACATACAGTTGTTACACTTATATTTTAGTGCTTTGAAAAGGCACAGATACCAAAAGAAACAACCTTTCTTTGGGACCTTACTCATTCATCCACATTTTCTCTTCCTTAAATAATACTTCCATTTGAGTTCATGCCGAAACATAAGTTACGTGCATACCCAATAATCACGATACGTGCTCTATAACAGAGCAATATGATTCCAGTTATTCCTACGAAATGAACGAGATGGCCAATGAGAACAGAGATTGAAGAGAACCAGCATTATGCATATGGAGGGAGGGAAAAAGTGCAGTATGTCCACTACCCAAGTGCTTCTGTGGCTAGCTGGTTGTCCTAATGTGCTAAACTGTAACATTACAGATATGACACTGTATTTCTTTCACTATTCTTACACAACATATACAGTGCCTTGCAAAAGTATTCATCCTCCTTGGCGTTTTTCCTATTTTGTTGCAATACAACCTGTAATTTAAATGGATTTTTATTTGGATTTCATTTAATGGACATACACAAAATAGTCAAAATTGTTGAAGTGAAATGAAAGAAATAACTTGTTTCAAAAAATTCAAAAAAATAAATAACAGAAAAGTGGTGCGTGCATATGTATTCACCCCCTTTGCTATGAAGCCCCTAAATAAGATCTAGTGCAAACAATTACCTTCAGAAGTCACATAATTAGTTAAATAAAGTCCACCTGTGTGTAATCTAAGTGTCACATGATCTGTCACATGATCTCAGTACATATACACCTGTTCTGAAAGGCCCCAGAGTCTGCAACACCACTAAGCAAGGGGCACCACCAAGCAAGCGGCACATGAAGACCAAGGAGCTCTCCAAACAGGTCAGGGACAAAGTTGTGGAGAAGTACAGATCAGGGTTGGGTTATCAAAAATTTCAGAAACTTTGAACATCCCACGGAGCACCATTAAATCCATTATTAAAAAATGGAAAGAATATGGCACCACAACAAACCTGCCAAGAGAGGGCCGCCCACCAAAACTCACGGACCAGGCAAGGAGGGCATTAATCAGAGAGGCAATAAAGACACCAAAGATAACCCTGAAGGAGCTGCAAAGCTCCACAGCGGAGATTGTAGTATCTGTCCATAGGACCACTTTAAGCCGTACACGCCACAGAGCTGGGCTTTACGGAAGAGTGGCCAGAAAAAAGCCATTGCTTAAAGAAAAAAAGAAGCAAACGTTTGGTGTTCGTCAAAAGGCATGTGGGAGACTCCCCAAACATATGGAAGAAGGTACACTGGTCAGATGAGACTGAAATTGAGCTTTTTGGCCATCAAGGAAAACGCTATGTCTGGCGCAAACCCAACACCTCTCATCACCCCGAGAACACCATCCCCACAGTGAAGCATGGTGGTGGCAGCATCATGCTGTCGGGATGTTTTTCATCGGCAGGGACTGGGAAACTGGTCAGAATTGAAGGAATGATGGATGGCGCTAAATACAGGGAAATTCTTGAGGGAAACCTGTTTCAGTCTTCTAGAGATTTGAGACTGGGACAGAGGTTCACCTTCCAGCAGGACAATGACCCTAAGCATACTGCTAAAGCAACACTTGAGTGGTTTAAGGGGAAACATTTAAATGTATTGGAATGGCCTAGTCAAATCCCAGACCTCAATCCAATTGAGAATCTGTGGTATGACTTAAAGATTGCTTTCCACCAGCGGAACCCATCCAACTTGAAGGAGCTGGAGCAGTTTTGCCTTGAAGAATGGGCAAAAATCCCAGTGCCTAGATGCGCCAAGCTTATAAAGACATACTCCAAGAGACTTGCAGCTGTAATTGCTGCAAAAGGTGGCTCTATAAATTATTGACTTTGGGGGATGAATAGTTATGCACGCTCAAGTTTTCTGTTTTTTTTTCTTATTTTTTGTTTGTTTCACATTAGAAAATATTTTGCATCTTCAAAGTGGTAGTCATGTTGTGTAAATCAAATGATACAAAAAATCTAATTTAATTCCAGGTTGTAAGGCAACAAAATAGGAAAAATGCCAAGGGGGCTGAATACTTTCGCAAGCCACTGTACATCTGCTACTGTATCTGTAACACCATGTGTCATTTGACCCTTTATGAGTACCACAAATACTGTTAGTTACTGCAACTCCTACTTCATTGTTAATGCATGACTGTACTATACAGGTTGACCATCTATCTAGTCAACTCAACCAAGCTAAAGGATCTCAGCCCAACTGACCAAGTGTTCCTCACCATTCCAAGAGTAGATGAATAATGTTGGGAGGCTGTGGGAGTTTTTCTTGGTCTTTAGAAGTTTAGGCTCTGGTTTCTGTTAAGCAGACTGTGAGAAATTAATTTGTAAAAAGCGCTATATAGCCACAGATGAAATGCAATTGACTGATGATTGACTGATTGATTGAATAAGTAGTTAGCCCAGTCAGGGATATGTAGATAAATCTCCAGCAGAGGGCGCCAGCGTACAATAGCAATGATTCCAAGTGCCTCAGTCAGTCAGTCAGTCAGTCAGTCAGTCAGTCAGTTGTAGCTATAGGTAGAATAGAGCCTTGTCTCTCATTCCCACAGCAGGCAGGACAGTGGGCTTTCACATAACGCACAGCCCTTCTCTCTTCAGCCTTCCACAGCCCTGAGGCTGGGTACTGTAGTCCTATGTAGATGCAGTAACCAGAGGAGGACTACAACTGGTCCGACTCCTCGCTGGAGCTGAGGCTAGGCCGGGACAAGCCTGGGGCCACAGTTCTGGGTGTAGGGGGCTCAGAGGGGCGTGTGCTGGGCTGGGTGGAGGGCACTGTGGGGGCTTCGTACTGGGGCAGGTCACCTTCTGACGGCAGTTCCACCCCATCTGGGAGGTAGGGAGGCGGTGGGAGGTCGAACCACGGAGGCCGGCTGGAGGCGAGATGGAGAAGGAGAAATAGATATGTAAAGGAGCGCACATATAATTATGCTACTATTGTTCTGAAATTAATTTAGTTAAGTTTAGAGACAGATCAATACAACAAACACATTTAAATAGACAAAGCTACGGTTGGCAAAACAATAAGCCTCACACTACTCCCTCCAGTACACTACACAGTATGTCTCAAGTGGACTCTTAGCCTACCTGACATCCAGTACAGCCTGGGAGTAGGAAGGCGGTGAGTCCATGGGCATGCCAGCGGGGTAGAGGGCCCCAGACAGCAGCTGTAGCCCTGGGGGACCTGCAGTGTACTGGGCCGCAGCAGACGGGGAGGTGGGGGAGAGGCCAGAGCCAGCTGGGTGGACATGTCCCCGGTCTAGGATGACCAGGCGGGACAGCAGCAGGGGCTGGTGGTGGTGGTGGGAGGACCCCCGGACCCCACGGGGCAGCAACACGCTGCGCTTCCTCTGGTGGTGCAGGACCAGGGCCAACAGCGCCACCACCAGGACGAAGATGACAGCGCTGCCGATGACCGCATAGGTGATGCTGGGGTAGTAGCGCAGCCGGTAGTCCAGGGTTACAAAGTCCTGACCTGGAGCCTCTGGAGGAGAGAACGGAAATATAATAAGAATGGGTCCGTTTTATGTAGGACTATCTCTAAGTGGCAAATGAGCTTACAGTTAATCTCTAGAGCACCTATGCTGAGTTCAGGAGCTTAGTGTCTGGGATGAAAACAGAGAGCAACACTACGGGAAAACTCAGATTACTGCTGTTGAGGAGAGAGCAATGCGCGCGCGCACACGCACACAAGAGTAACACTTAGGAACTCACAGCTCAAGATGAGAAAAGTGGGATAGTAGTCAGAAACACAGCAGCAGCCCACGGGTTGAAATGAACAGAAGGAGTTGCAACACTAATAAGGAACACTGTGCTTTAGTATTCCAGATGAGAGGAGGGAAACATTTCCTGTATGGATGGTGTGTGTGTCTCTGTGCCTGTGTGTGAGAGAGAAGTGTTGGAGTATGGGGGAGGGGGGGACCAGGGGTGCACTCAGAATTAGCCTGAATAAAATGTGAGTCCCCCGTCCCCCAACAGCCGCCACTAAACAATCACCGTCGCCCCTTCCCCTGTCATGGTGATGTTCGTTCACTCAGACCTGGCCGTTCCTTCCCTCAGTTCCCTGGTCCTATTCATTATGCGCTGAGCTCTGCAGAGAGAGATCCAAAACAAAAATTAATTACTACAGTAATTAGCGCAGTAAAAGAAAAACAGATAAAGGGATCCCACCGCTGCCACCCGTCTCGCCCACCAGACGCACAGACAAAAGGAACTCATAATCAGGGCCGTCACCAGAGTTTCATAACATTCAGGGCTCAGTCCTGTGGGTTCGAGAAAAAAAGGTACTTTCTAAAATCATTTCCTGCAATTCTACGTCATTTTACATGACTGGAGACAATGCAATAATATTTTTTTATACCACATAAATGATTAAAATGACAAGCGACTCTGAGATCAATACAACCAACAACCCATGTCTTAAAAGCAACCAATAGCATAGGCCAATGAAAATAGTGGATACACAGATTTTAGGCCTAAAATATGAGGAGGAAATGATAGTACCAACTTTTTCCCGCAATTGTATTTTGAAATATTGCGAAATACCTTCTAGCTGCTGCCTGCTGTTCATTGACAGACACAACTTAACAATCAGCTGTTTTATATTTTCCGGGTGGGCTGCCCAATTGCGGGATTCCCGACTGTAGACTAGGCCTATGCGCTCTAATGTGACAAAACACAATCTACAGATTAAAAAATAAAAATAAGCTATTGATCCTCTGGCTAAATTATGCTGGTGCAGTATTTTCAATGATTTCATTTATTTTTATAGAGACAGGAGTAATTATATAATTTGGCAAATGTATTTCAATTTATCTGCAACACTTCCAGCACCCCTTCCTGCAGCGCTATGTTTTCTTTCATGCGCTGTGCTCTCCCCAAGGCCAAATAATCAACACTTTTTATTGTTAATTCAATGGGTTGTGGTCAGTAACCCCATATTGTGTAGGTAGGCCTACTGTTACAATAATATTTAAAATAATCTATCAGCAAGTAGCCTAGCCAACAATTACAAGATAATACATTCAGTAAGTCAATGAAGCCAATAGTGGTTTCAGCTATATTGTTATTGAAACGATGTAGGCCTTATGACCTTTTTAAACAATAAGAATATGTCAAATTACTTGAATATCCTATGGGAAAAGTGTACACATTTGTACTCGCATTAGTACGCTAAGTGACTGAAATGCATCAGAAAAGTATTGGAAAGTTCAGGAAAACATCAGGGAAGCTCATCAGGTAGGCTATAGGCCTAATATGTGTGTCAGATCTGCATTGCTTTCAATTGCTAGACTAATGATCATGAGAACTCACCTCCACTTAGCTACCATTTCTCAACACCATTTTGACCAAATATCCAAACGGAGATTCAGTGAAAACAAAAATCTGACATTGATTGAATTATCAAGATGAGTTCCAATGCTTGTCTCAAAGCAGCGCAATGACGCTGTCCCAATTATCAGTTGACCACACATGGCAGTTGCTTTACATTTATTATAACCAGTGGTGTAGTGCTATTTTTTTTAGGTAGTCTCCCGGAGCACCATTTTTATTATTATTAAGCCATCATTTCTGAATGAAAGTTGGTACCGACATGAAGCCTATTGTATAAAATAATTTTAGAATATACATACAATGCATCATCCAAATTGCATGATTGCCTATGCCTACACAAACTGTAAGTAGCTAAATCCTAAAACACCAAATTAGGCCTACCTTATTATAAATTAGGCCATCATCACTGTCAATCGTGAATGATAATTCTTCACGTTTTACAGGTGAAACGTCCATGCTGCATGCATGCCAACCATTTGATCCCAATCAGTTTCATGGGAATATGCATTCTGATCTTCTTGAATGATGTACAGTAAGGGTGGCTAACCGGCCGAACTAATCTAATTTTAGAGCAGATGGAGTTAAACACAGCCACCCCATGAGAAAAAAATGCAACATTTCAGCACAATCATCCTACATTGTCATAAGGAATGACATGGTGTTTTTAGTAGCCTGACATTATCATGCTTTTATATTCGGTTTGTTATGTAGATTACTAATGAATCATTAAGTGATCTTGCGAGACATAGCACCATTCTGAGAAGTGGCGGAGGGTCGCTCTACTACAACCCTGATTATAACGGTTGGATGACTTCGGGAGTTTCATGTAACCACAGGTCTATGAATTAAGTGGCGCATTCAGTTGACAATTTTTTTTTACACTATTGCAGCAGCGCAAAATATTATGGGCTGACCCAAAATCATTCGGGGCTAAAGCTCCAAAAGCCAGGTCCTGGTGACGTCCATGTTCATAATGCCCCCACATAAACAACGGGTGGGTATTTGGTGCGTTTAGCGATAGAGGGCCTATATGAAAAGGCTACTGTTTTTGAGAGAGAGAGAGAGAGAGAGAGAGAGAGAGAGAGAGAGAGAGAGAGGTGGTTTGTTTTTGACACAACAGCGCTTCCCTAGCTGTCAGGGGAGCGAGGTAGTGTCTTGTCTCTACTGCACTACCTGCCCGGTGATATTGAACTGGTGTTTCTGATGCAGACACTGAAGGGAATAGAAGCACACACACCTTTCTATTCAATAAGGGAGCTTTGCCCCTCCCAGATGACACCATCACCTCTAGCAGAGTCTCTATACTCATAAACCTTTCCCCCCTGGAGAGGTAGAGGGCCAGAGATCACACCGGCTCTGCCTGCTGCTCCCACAGACCACTTGAATCATACCAGAGTGCATTCTCTCGTCTCCTTCCTCCCCCATCCTCTCTCCTCTCAGCGCCTGCTCTCCCTTCTTAGTACCTGCACTGCCTCCTCCTTCCTCCTCTGTCCTCCCGGCTCTCCTCTCCTGCGCTCGTCCTTTTTATTTATTCTACCTCTCCATCCTCTCTAATGCTTGCTCTCCCCCTCCTCCCTCCTCTCAGCTCTCCCCTCCTGCTCTCTTCCATCTCCCCCACCATCTACCTATCGGCGCCTGCTCTCTCAACCTCTCCTCTCTATAGGCAGTAATTTACTACCATGGAGATGACATGTAGCTGGAACAGGAACATGATATACAACAACTGCACTCAGTCTATATTATACACTCAATAAAACATACAACCATATACAGCTCTCCCCCTCTCTCCTCGCCGCTGTTTCCTTCTCTCGCTCTTTGTTTTTATGCCTTTCCTTACCCAGTAATTACTCTCCCTTAAATTAGATCCCTTAAAGTGTCATCACAGTGTGTGTGTTTGTATATAAAAGAAACACACTTTCACACACCACAGACAGAAACACAAGGGTGCAGTTATAGTGTGACACACAAACCTAAAAACAAAGCCTGAAAAATAAAGTAATTTCTACCTGCCTAATCTCTTTCTTACTCATGATCCAGATGCATAGACAGGAGGAAGACAGACAGGAAAGTGAGACACGGTATTGGAGAATGCCTGCTGTATTGAGTGACAAACAAGCTGAGGGCCAACATTGTAACATAATAGCCTATCGAACATGCAGTGGTTACAACGAGCAGCACTGAAACTCTACTTTGTTTGATCGAATCAAACTATGACAGACATTAACAGAACACTGCCATTTTGTTGCTGGGATACAGGGGCTTTTTTTGAAGCGCATTCCTTCATCCTGATTGGACAACTGCCTGCAAGTATGCTAATGAGCAACTCATGTCAACATGAATGAGAAGAGAAAGAGAGAGAGAGAGAGAGAGAGAGAGAGAGAGTAGAGAAAGAAAGAACAGAAAATAGAAAACAGTAGCACCACATCCTAATTGCCCCTCTTTATAAAGCCTATCAATAAAAATAGGGAGCTGGGAATACAGGAATAAAGGAATAGAGACATTTTCCCTGCTTATACTCCAGGAGAGGAGATCCACATCTATACAATAACAACCGTACACAGCAAATCCTTTCTCTACATACCTAGACACATAATGCATTCACATACTCTCCTTTAGAAGAGAGAAAAAGAAAACAAGGGGAAAAACACTATCTCCTGCTACAACATTCCACTGCTTCTAGAATGTGTCTCCAGTTGATTGGTGTGTTTGCCTCCTTCCACACCGTGTGACGGTTGATAATTACAGGTGCTGGTCCAGCTGGCGGCCTGCGGGCCCGTTACCATGGACACGGACATAACAGCGAGAGAGGTTTGTGATGATGGTGTAGCGATGGAGTCAGTGACAAAGCTGGCCGCTCCACAGATCAACACATTAGCTTCAGCCAGAGTAAAGAGGGCCATGCTGTGGAGTGGAGCAGTGGTGAGACGTACCACTAGGGGGCAGGCTGTTCCTATATTTTCACCACATTTTGGGAAAACTGGTTTCCCTCAGTGCAGGCCTAAAACCTCAAACAGGAATAGTCCTCCCGTCCAAGTTCCCCCAGTGAGGGGAGGCCAACACCCCTCACCCCCTGGGCAGCCCTCCAGAGCACCAGCAGGAGAAGGGGTACAACACAGCCCAAACAGGGGGACCAGCCATCTGGCTAACAGGCTTCAAACATACCCCGGCGCACGTGCGCACTCACACACATACTAAGTGAGAAAAAAAGCAATACACACTATTCAAAAATTCCAACACGTCTTTCATTCTGGTCCAAATCTGCTAGCTAAACCCTAGCCACATGGAGGGAAATCTATAAATGATTGGGGAGAAACTACAAACAAGTAGTAGGAGCCTTGCTGTTCATGCTTATGTATGCTAGATACTCAATCTCAGATTCCTCTGTCTGTGGAACAGTGTGTGGAGAGGGAAAACAAACTCTTAAAAATGACTGTGGTGGATGTGGTGGGCAACATGGCCGAGGGACTGACACCACACTCTCCTCTCCTCTCCTCTCCTCTCCTCTCCTCTCCTCTCCTCTCCTCTCCTCTCCTCTCCTCTCCTCTCCTCTCCTCTCCTCTCCTCTCCTCTCCTCTCCTCTCCTCTCCTCTCCTCTCCTCTCCTCTCCTAATTCCAGTGGCTGGCTGGCCTTGCTGCTCTCTTCAGCAGTGATAGCATAGCATAGCATGTTAGCTGCTCCCTGACAGACAGACAGACAGGGCCATTCCTTATCCCAGCACACCATTACTCATCCATGCCTGTTGCTGCTGCGTTATTAGTGTTAATGTGTCATGTCATGTGTGACCCCTCCTGTTATTATGTCCTGAGAGAGGGGAAGAGAACGACGGAGAGCGTTAGTATGAGGGAGAAAGTGAGAGAGGAAGGGTGGGATCAACAACATGGAGGGAACAACAGAGAGAAAGCGAGAGTGAGTGAGGCCACGATACAGAGTGAGAGAGAAAAAGACAGAGAGGGGGAGAGAAAAATAATAGAGCGAGAGGTAGTGAGGGGGGGAAGGAGGCCGCCCCACAGAGCTAGGAGGAGAGGTTTTCATGCTCTATCAGGTCTCCATTTGCCTGTCCTGTAATAACTTGTCCGCTCCATTGCCTGCCACTATCACCACGGCCATAAAACAGTCACACGGTTACAGCAGCACGACCAGCCATGTTTGGAGGCAGGCAATGGAGACCACTAACAGATAGCACCACATCCATACACACTGGGGGGAGGAGGGATTGAGGAATGGAGGGGGTGTGAAAGACTGATAGAAGGAATATAAGTGAAAAAGAAAGAGTGATGGAGGGTGGAGGGAGGGATTGTGGGACAAAGTGAGGGTGAAAGAGTGGATTCATAAAATGTATTGCAGTGAGCCAGACTTGGCTGGAATAGTGCAACAAAGAAAAACGGTTGGGTGCTTTGGTGCAACACTGAGTGTGTCAAAGACTTTCAAATGTAGAATTCCTTAGAGATAAGCGGTAGGGTGGTGTGGTGTGATGTGTATGTGTGTGGTTGGTGGGACAGAACCTTCCGCAGGAATAGTAAGAAAAGGGAGGGGTCAGTGGTCAGAGAGAGCTTTGACTACAGGCCCCTCCTACTGAACCTGAGGGGGCCCGTCTCCATGGTAACTGTGTGCTTTGGGCCGAGAGGTGAGAGAGGAAGGGAGGTGTGGGAGTAGTGGCTGTACACACACACCCACACACACTGATGCCCCCTGGGAGTCCTATTCATCCATGTGTCTGTCAGAGAGACAAAGGGAGTCTGTCTGTCCGTCTGTCCATCCGTCTGTATGCTTGTCTGTCTGTCTGTCTGTCTGTCTGTGTCTGCGGTCTGCAGGATCCACAGGTTTAGGATAGACCTCCCAGAGGAGACAGCTATGCTGTGTGCGCGTTCAAAGGGAGCTATCACAAAACACCATGGCTGCAGCTGGACACTATGAGAGAGATACAGAGCTATGGCCACAGCCATTTTATTATGCAGGTGAGGCTCTTTGAGATAAAAAAATATAATTTTCAAGTGTTAAATAGCAGCAATCAGACTCATTAAAAGTTACAAGTATGTAGGCACAAAGATATACAGATATAGCTCCACAGCCAGTAAGCAGGGTAAAATAACTACCACTAACTTCATGACAGGAACAGGAAATTAGACCATTCTGATTTTTCACAAAACTGCCCAAAAAGGCTGTTTTTAAAAATGTATGAAGGGAATGGAGGTACAGTGGGGGAAAAAGATGAGAGAGGCCTGTAATTTTCATCATAGGTACACGTCAACTATGACAGAAAAAAATGAGAAAGAAAAATCCAGAATATCACATTGTAGGATTTTTAATGAATTTATTTGCAAATTATGGTGGAAAATAAGTATTTGGTCAATAACAAAAGTTTCTCAATACTTTGTTATATACCCTTTGTTGGCAATGACACAGGTCAAACGTTTTCTGTAAGTCTTCACAAGGTTTTCACACACTGTTGCTGGTATTTTGGCCCATTCCTCCATGCAGATCTCCTCTAGAGCAGTGATGTTTTGGGGCTGTCGCTGGGCAACACGGACTTTCAACTCCCTCCAAAGATTTTCTATGGGGTTGAGATCTGGAGACTGGCTAGGCCACTCCAGGACCTTGAAATGCTTCTTACGAAGCCACTCCTTCGTTGCCCGGGCGGTGTGTTTGGGATCATTGTCATGCTGAAAGACCCAGCCACGTTTCATCTTCAATGCCCTTGCTGATGGAAGGAGGTTTTCACTCAAAATCTCACGATACATGGCCCCATTCATTCTTTCCTTTACACGGATCAGTCGTCCTGGTCACTTTGCAGAAAAACAGCCCCAAAGCATGATGTTTCCACCCCCATGCTTCACAGTAGGTATGGTGTTATTTGGATGCAACTCAGCATTCTTTGTCCTCCAAACACGACAAGTTGAGTTTTTACCAAAAAGTTCTATTTTGGTTTCATCTGACCATATGACATTCTCCCAATCCTCTTCTGGATCATCCAAATGCACTCTAGCAAACTTCAGACGGGCCTGGACATGTACTGGCTTAAGCAGGGGGACACGTCTGGCACTGCAGGATTTGAGTCCCTGGCGGCGTAGTGTGTTACTGATGGTAGGCTTTGTTACTTTGGTCCCAGCTCTCTGCAGGTCATTCACTAGGTCCCCCCGTGTGGTTCTGGGATTTTTGCTCACCATTCTTGTGATCATTTTGACCCCACGGGGTGAGATCTTGCGTGGAGCCCCAGATCGAGGGAGATTATCAGTGGTCTTGTATGTCTTCCATTTCCTAATAATTGCTCCCACAGTTGATTTCTTCAAACCAAACTGCTTACCTATTGCAGATTCAGTCTTCCCAGCCTGGTGCAGGTCTACAATTTTGTTTCTGGTGTCCTTTGACAGCTCTTTGGTCTTGGCCATAGTGGAGTTTGGAGTGTGACTGTTTGAGGTTGTGGACAGGTGTCTTTTATACTGATAACAAGTTCAAACAGGTGCCATTAATACAGGTAACGAGTGGAGGACAGAGGAGCCTCTTAAAGAAGAAGTTACAGGTCTGTGAGAGCCAGAAATCTTGCTTGTTTGTAGGTGACCAAATACTTATTTTCCACCATAATTTGCAAATAAATTCATTAAAAATCCTACAATGTGATTTTCTGGAGAAAAAAAATCTCAATTTGTCTGTCATAGTTGACGTGTACCTATGATGAAAATTACAGGCCTCTCTCATCTTTTTAAGTGGGAGAACTTGCACAATTGGTGGCTGACTAAATACTTTTTTTCCCCACTGTAGCTGCTGTGTTTGAAGTCAGGGGCTGACGGGAGAGCTGGTGATGCTGTTACGGGGATAATTGACGCCATAGGTGGGGGTGTTTGGAGCTAAACAAGATCATTATTTTCAGTGGCGAGAGAGAGAGAGAGAGAGAGAGAGAGAGAGAGAGAGAGAGAGAGAGAGAGAGAGAGAGAGAGAGAGAGAGAGAGAGACAGAAATTACAGATCACAAATTCCAATTGGCTATACTTAAACTCTTTAACAGCATCCTCAGCTCTTGCATCTTCTCTTATAATTGGAACCAAGGACTGATCACCCCTATCCACAAAAGTGGAGACAAATTCAGCCCCAATAACTCCTGTGGTATATGCATCAACAGCAACCTTGGGAAAATCCTCTGCATTATCATTAACAGCAGACTCCTACATTTCCTCAGTGAAAACAATGTCCTGAGCAAATGTCAAATTGCCTTTTTACCAAATTACCGTATGACAGACCACGTGTTCACCCTGCACACCCTAATTGACAAACAAACCAAAACAAAGGCAGAGGGTCTGTTATATAAATTGATGGGGGAAAACATAGGATATTATTATATCCATTTACAAAACAACAAGTGTACGGTTATAATTGGCAAAAAACACACTGATTTCTTTCCTCAGGGCCGGGGGCCGAGACAGGGTGCAGCTTGAGCCCCACCCTCTTTAACATTTATATAAACGAATTGGCGAGGGCTCTAGAACTATCTGAAGCACCCGGCCTCACCCTACTAGACTCTGAAGTCAAATATTTACTGTTTGCAGATGATGTGGTGCTTCTGTTCCCAACCAAGGAGGGCCTACAGCAGCACCTAGATCTTCTGCACAGATTCTGTCATACTTGGGCCCTTGGGCCCAGTTAATCTCAGTAAGACAAAAAGAATGGTGTTCCAAAAAAGGTCCAAAGACCACGAATACAAATATCACCTACACAAAAAATGATACCTACCTTGGCCTAAACATCAGCACTACAGGTAACTTCCACAAAGCAGTGAACGATCTGAGAGACGCCATCATAAGGCACATAAAGGTTGACATCTTAATTAGGATCTGGCTAAAAATAATTGAATCAGTTGTAGAACCCATTGCCCTCTGTGGTTGTGAGGTCTCGGGTCCACTCACCAATCAAGAATTCACAAAATGGGACAAACACCAAATCGAGACTCTGCATGCAGAATTCTGCAAAAACATCCTCTGGGTACAACGTAAAAGACCAAGTAATGCATACAGAGCAGAATTAGGACGATACCCGCTAATTATCAAAATCCAGAAAATAGCAATTATATTCTACAACCACCTAAAAGGAAGCGACTCTCAAACCCTCCATAATAAAGCCATCACCTACAGAGAGATTAACCTAGAGAAGAGTCCCCTCAGGAAGCTGGTCCTGGGGCTCTGCTCACAAACACAAACAGGACAGCAACACAATTAGGCCCAACCAAATAATGACAAAACATTTGTGACCTGTTGCCACAAGAAAAGTGCAACCAGAGGAGCACAAACACCATTGTAAATACAACCTATATTTATCTGTTTATTTTCCCTTTCGTACTTCAACTATTTGCACATTGTTACAACATTGTACATAGCCAATAATAAAACATTTGAAATGTCTATGTTCTTTTGTGAGTTTAATGTTTACTGTTAATTTCTGATTATTTATTTCCCTTGTTCATTTCCCTTTTGTTTATTGTCTATTTCACTTGCTTTGGCAATGTAAACATATGTTTCCCATGCCAATAAAGCACTTTGAATTGAATTGAGAGAGAGAGAGAGAGAGTGAGAGAGAGAGACACACACACCTTTTGTCACACCTAGAGATGTATAATAATCCAACAGGTCCTTTAGCTCACTCATTCCTACAGCAACAAATCCTCCTCTACCCCATGCCCCAGGTCATGAAAACTAGCAGAATTTAGGATATGTTCCCCTTCAAATGTACGCAGCTTATATCAAATCCCATTAGATTAGCCTATAGACTCAGTCAGCGCTGGGTATTTATCCAACTTAATACCTTTCCTTGGGGTTCCTATCCTAACGTTCACATGCTTTGAACAGGGAAATCCAACTGTGTACATGTTAAATGTTAGACATATTTCAAGCTACCTTCAGAGGACTTTATATTGCTCCCCTTAGATCTAATAGAATATAATACGCCTCACACTAAATGATAGCAGCAGAATTGTTGCTACAGGATTTTAACTCTAAGTGCTCACCCTCTGGCCAGGAAAGTATATCAAAGTGGCTGGAGAAAACATAGTCAAGTCTTACAGTGAGGGAAAAAAGTATTTGATCCCCTGCTGATTTTGTAAGTTTGCCCACTGACAAAGACATGATCAGTCTATAATTTTAATGGTAGGTTTATTTGAGCAGTGAGAGACAGAATAACAACAAAAAAATCCAGAAAAACACATGTCAAAAATTTTATACATTTATTTGCATTTTAATGAGGGGAATAAGTATTTGACCCCTCTGCAAAACATGACTTAGTACTTGGTGGCAAAACCCTTGTTGGCAATCACAGAGGTCAGACGTTTCTTGTAGTTGGCCACCAGGTTTGCACACATCTCAGGAGGGATTTTGTTCCACTCCTCTTTGCAAATCTTCTCCAAGTCATTAAGGTTTCGAGGCTGACGTTTGGCAACTCGAACCTTCAGCTCCCTCCACAGATTTTCTATGGGATTAAGGTCTGGGGGCTGGCTAGGCCACTCCAGGACCTTAATGTGCTTCTTCTTGAGCCACTCATTTGTTGCCTTGGCTGTGTGTTTTGGGTCATTGTCATGCTGGCGCTGCAGGATTTCAGTCCTTAACGGCGTAGTGTGTTACCAATTGTTTTCTTGGTGACTATGGTCCCAGCTGCCTTGAGATCATTGACAAGATCCTCCCGTGCAGTTCTGGGCTGATTCCTCACCGTTCTCATGATCAACGTAACTCCACGAGGTGAGATCTTGCATAGAGCCCCAGGCCGAGGGAGATTGACAGTTATTTTGTGTTTCTTCCATTTGCGAATAATCATACCAACTGTTGTCACCTTCTCACCAAGCTGCTTGGCGATGCTCTTGTAGCCCATTCCAACCTTGTGTAGGTCTACAATCTTGTCCCTGACATCCTTGGAGAGCTCTTTGGTCTTGGCCATGGTGGAAAGTTTGGAATCTGATTGATTGATTGCTTCTGTGGACAGGTGTCTTTTATACAGGTAACAAGCTGAGATTAGGAGCACTCCCTTTAAGAGTGTGCTCCTAATCTCAGCTCGTTACCTGTATAAAAGACACCTGGGAGCCAGAAATCTTTCTGATTGAGAGGGGGTCAAATACTTATTTCCCTCAATGTATATTTACATTTGATTAGGATCCCCATTTAGCTGACGTCATGACAACAGCTAGTCTACCTGGGGTCCGACACAATAAAAAATACATTACAGACAAAAAGGTTTGGGAGCATAGATGGGACACTTATCTACAAATGGGGTTGGGGGCTGACACAGACACGGACTGAGCATTTCTCATTTTAACTCAAGCCACATGGGAACTTGTGGTGATAGGAGTCTTTGTGAGCGTCTGAAGATCAGGTTGAAGGTGATTTAGTGCTCAGCACAGGAGATCATATGTGGCAGGGGTAATGAAAAGACAACGTGTGTGGGTCCTCCATATCTCCTTCACACACACACACACACGCATTCACACCCCACAGTTGGACCAGACAAGGACATAGAGAGTCTGGGCATGGCTTATCTGCTATAGTAACAGAGACCAGTGGCTTTTCCCATAGACCCAGTGTATCCAGCCATGACATGCTCTGATAAAGTTGCGCCCAGAGTGGACTGGGAGGGAGGGAGGGAAGACTGGAGGGAGGCTCAGACACTGGCTCCGTGTGAGTCGATCAGAGTAACATACATCCACCCTGCTTGGCCAATACACATACAGTACATGGCAGTGTGGTGCCAGGAAAATAACCTCTCACTCAAGTCAACAAAACAAAGGAGATGATCGTGGACTTCAGGAAACAGCAGAGGGAACACCCCCTATCCACATCGACGGGAGCGCAGTGGAAAAGGTGGAAAGCTTCAAGTTCCTCAGCTTACACATCACTGACAAACGGAAATGGTCCACCCACACAGACAGTGTGGTGAAGAAGGCGCAACAGTGCCTCTTCAACCTCAGCAGGCTGAAGAAATTTGGCCTGGCACCTAAAACCCTCACAAACTTTTGTTCAGATGCACAATTGAGAGCATCCTGTCGGGCTGTATCACCGCCTGGTATGGCAACTGCACCACCCGCAACCGCAGGGCTCTCCAGAGGGTGGTGCGGTCTGCCCAATGCATCACCTGGGACAACAACCACCCGAGCCACTGCCGAGCCACATGATCGTGGACTTCAGAAGGCGAGGTCAGTACATGTGCATCAAAGCTGGGTCTGAGAGACTGAAACTCAGCTTCTATCTCAAGGCCATTAGACTGTTAAATACCCTTCACTAGCACATTAGAGGCTGCTGCCTATATACATAGATTAGAAATCACTGGCCACTTTAATAAATGGAACACTAGTCACTTTAATACTGTTTACATATCTTGCATTACTCATCTCACATGCATATACTGTATTAAATATTATTCTACTGCATCTTAGTCTATGCCGCTCTGACATTGCTCATCCACATATTTATTTATATATTCTTAATTCCATTGCTTTACTTAGATTTGTGTGTATTGGGTATATGTTGTGAAATTGTTAGCTATAACTTGTTAGATATTACTGCACTGTCGGAGCTAGAAACACAAGCATTTCGCTACACCCGCAATAACATCTGCTAAACACATGTATGTGACCAATACAATTTGATTTGATTTGCAAGAACTACAGACAAATAAACATGCATATTACCCACACATATGTACACACACATGCATGCGCACAGACACTACCCTTCCACACGCATGGCTCTGAAAGGCACCAAGGTTTCAGATGCCGATCTGGGCGTTGGTCTTATCACTGTCCACAACACAGCCCCTGTCTATGGAGCACACCACTGCAGCTATATGGCTCTACTGAAATCTGCTCTGCCTGGGTGGAAGAGAAGGCAAGGTGGCTCTGGAAGAAATGGGATGAAGAAAGATTCCCTTGTTGCATTGTCAAGTCTGTCTGTTCACGTACCTCTCTCTCTCTCTCTCTCTCTCTCTCTCTCATTAAATTCAATGGGCTTTATTGGCATGGGAAAATATGTTTCCATTGCCAAAGCAAGTGAAATAGATAAACAAAAGTGAAATAAACAATCAAAAATAAACAGTAAACATTACACTCACAAAAGTTTCAAAGGAATAGAGACATTTCAAATGTCATATTATGGCTATGTACAGTGTTATAACGATGTGCAAATAGTTAAAGTGCAAAATAGAATATGGATTATATTTACAATGGTGTTTGTTCTTCACTGGTTGCCCTTTTCTTGTGGCAACAGGTCACAAATGTTGCTGCTGTGATGGCACACTGTGGTATTTCACCCAATAGATATGGGAATATTGTTTTCAAATTCTTTGTGGGTCTGTGTAATCTGAGGGAAATAAGTGTCTCTAACATGGTCATACATTTGGCAGGAGGTTAGGAAGTGCAGCTCAGTTTCCACTTCATTTTGTGGGCATTGTGCACATAGCCCATCTTCTCTTGAGAGCCAGGTCTGCCTATGGTGGCCTCTCTCAATAGCAAGGCTATGCTCACTGAGTTTGTACATAGTCAAAGCTTTCCTTAATTTTGGGTCAGTCACAGTGGTCAGGTATTCCTGCCACTGTGTACTCTCTGTTTAGGGCCAAATAGCATTCCAGTTTGCTCTGCTTTTTTTGGTAAATTCGTTCCTATGTGTCAAGTAATTATCTTTTTGTTTTCTCATGATTTGGTTGGGTCTAATTGTGTTGCTGTCCTGGGGCTCTGTGGGGTCTGTTTGTGTTTGTGAACAGAGCCCCAGGACCAGCTTGCTTAGGGGACTCTTCTCTAGGTTAATCTCTCTGTAGGTGATGGCTTTGTTATGGAAGGTTTGGGAATCGCTTCGTTTTAGGTGGTTGTAGAATTTAAAGGATCTTTTCTGGATTTAGGTAATTAGCGGGTATCGGCCTAATTCTGCTCTGCATGCATTATTTGGTGTTTTACATTGTACAAGCAGGATATTTTTTTTGCAGAATTCTGCATGCAGAGTCTCAATTTGGTGTTTGTCGCATTTTGTAAATTCTTGGTTGCTGAGCGACCCCAGAACTCACAACCATAAAGGGCAATGGGTTCTATAACTGATTCAAGTATTTTTTGCCAGATCCTAATTGGTATGTCAAATTGTATGTTCCTTTTGATGGCATAGAAGGCCCTTCTTACCTTGTCTCTCAGATTGTTCACAGCTTTGTGGAAGTTACCTCTGGTGCTGATGTTTAGGCCGATATAGGTATAGTTTTTTGTGTGCTCTAGGGAAATGGTGTCTAGATGGAATTTGTATTTGTGGTCCTGGCAACTGGACCTTTTTTGCAACATTTATTATTTTGTCTTGCTGAGATTTACTGCACAGAATCTGTGCAGAATATCTAGGTGCTGCTGTAGGCCCTCCTTGGTTGGGGACAGAAGCAACAGATCATCAGCAAACAGTAGACATTTTACTTCAGATTCTAGTTGGATGAGGCCGGGTGCTGCAGACTGTTCTAGTGCCCTTGCCAATTTGTTGAGATATATGTTGAAGAGGGTGGGGCTCAAGCTGCATCCCTGTCTTACCCCACTGCCCTGTGGAAAGAAATGTGTGTTTTTTGCCCATTTTAACTGCACACTTGTTGTTTGTGTACATGGATTTTATAATGTCGTATGTCTTTCCACCAACACGACTTTACATCAATTTGTATAGCAAACCCTCATGCCAAATTGAGTCAAAAGCTTTTTTGAAATCAACAAAGCATGAGAAGACTTTGCCTTTGTTTTGGTTTGTTTGTCAATTAGGGTGTGCAGGGTGAATACGTGGTCTGTTGTACGGTAATGTGGTAAAAAGCCAATTTGACATTGCTCAGTACATTGTTTTCACTGAGGAAATGTACGAGTCTGCTGTTAATGATAATGCAGAGGATTTTCCCAAGGTTGCTGTTGACGCATATGCCACAGTAGTTATTGGGGGCAAATTTGTCTCCACTTTTGTGGATTGGTGTGATCAGTCGTTGCTTCCAAATATTGGGAAAGATGCCAGAGCTGAGGATGATGTTAAAGAGTTTAAGTATAGCCAATTGGAATTTGTGATCTGTATATTTTATCATTTAATTTAGCATACCATCACCACCACAGGCCTTTTTTGGTTGGAGGGTTTGTATTTTGTCCTGTAGTTAATTGAATGTAATTGGAGAATCCAGTGGGTTCTGGTAGTCTTTAATAGCTGACTCTAATATTTGTAATTGATCATCTATATGTTTTTGCTGTTTGTTATTTGTTATAGAGCCAAAATGATTTGAGAAGTGGTTTATCCATACATCTCCATTTTGGATAGATAACTCTTTGTGTTGTTTTTTTTTTTGTGTGTTCCAATTTCCCTGGTGAAATATACTGTTTAGGCTTTCTACTGCCAAGTTTACACCTTCACTATTACAGGGAACTACTTTGTTTTTGAAGTTGGCTAAAACTGATTAAATTTGTTGTTGCCTAATTGTTTTTTGGTAGGTTTCTACAATACATTCCTTCCATCTATAGCAGTTCTTAATATTGTGCAGTTCCTTTGGATTTGATACCTCATAATTGAGTATTGCTCTGTTCAAGGAGGCTGTGGTTTTGCTTTGATCTAATAGGGGTGTCAGTGGGCTGACTGTGAACACTCAGAGACTCTGGGTTGAGGTCAGTGATAAAGTAATCCACAGTCCTACTGCCAAAGGATGAACTGTAGGTGTACCTACCATAGGAGTCTCCTCGAAGCCTACCATTGACTATTTACAGACTCAGATTGCGATAGAGCTGCAGGAGTTATGACCCGTTTTTGTTGGTTGTTTTTCATAGTTGTGTCTAGGGGGGCATATTTGGGAGGGAATATTGTCACCTCAAGGTACAGTGGGGAGAAGAAGTATTTGATACACTGCCAATTTTGCAGGTTTTCCTACTTACAAAGCATGTAGAGGTCTGTAATTTTTATCATAGGTACACTTCAACTGTGAGAGACGAAATCTAAAACAAAAATCCAGAAAATCACATTGTATGATTTTTAAATAATTAATTTGCATTTTATTGCATGACATAAGTATTTGATACATCAGAAAAGCAGAACTTAATATTTGGTACAGAAACCTTTGTTTGCAATTACAGAGATCATACGTTTCCTGTAGGTCTTGACCAGGTTTGCATACACTGCAGAAGGGATTTTGGCCCACTCCTCCATACAGACCTTCTCCAGAACCTTCAGGTTTCGGGGCTGTCGCTGTCAGCTCCCTCCAAAGATTTTCTATTGGGTTCAGGTCTGGAGACTGGCTAGGCCACTCCAGGACCTTGAGATGCTTCTTACGGAGCCACTCCTTAGTTGCCCTGGCTGTGTGTTTTGGGTCGTTGTCATGCTGGAAGACCCAGCCACGACCCATCTTCAATGCTCTTACTGAGGGAAGGAGGTTGTTGGCCAAGATCTCGCGATACATGGCCCCATCCATCCTCCCCTCAATACGGTGCAGTCGTCCTGTCCCCTTTGCAGAAAAGCATCCCCAAAGAATGATGTTTCCACCTCCATGCTTCACGGTTGGGATGGTGTTCTTGGGGTTGTACTCATCCTTCTTCTTCCTCCAAACACGGCGAGTGGAGTTTAGACCAAAAAGCTCTATTTTTGTCTCATCAGACCACATGACCTTCTCCCATTCCTCCTCTGGATCATCCAGATCGTCATTGGCAAACTTCAGACGGGCCTGGACATGTGCTGGCTTGAGCAGGGGGACCTTGCGTGCGCTGCAGGATTTTAGTCTATGACGGCGTAGTGTGTTACTAATGGTTTTCTTTGAGACTGTGGTCCCAGCTCTCTTCAGGTCATTGACCAGGTCCTGCCATGTAGTTCTGGGCTGATCCCTCACCTTCCTCATGATCATTGATGCCCCACGAGGTGAGATCTTGCATGGAGCCCCAGACCGAGGATGATTGACCGTCATCTTGAACTTCTTCCATTTTCTAATAATTGCGCCAACAGTTGTTGCCTTCTCACCAAGCTGCTTGCCTATTGTCTTGTAGCCCATCCCAGCCTTGTGCAGGTCTACAATGTTATCCCTGATGTCCTTACACAGCTCTCTGGTCTTGGCCATTGTGGAGAGGTTGGAGTTTGTTTGATTGAGTGTGTGGACAGGTGTCTTTTATACAGGTAACGAGTTCAAACAGGTGCAGTTAATACAGGTAATGAGTGGAGAACAGGAGGGCTTCTTAAAGAAAAACTAACAGGTCTGTGAGAGCTGGAATTCTTACTGGTTGGTAGGTGATCAAATACTTATGTCATGCAATAAAATGCAAATTAATTACTTAAAAATCATACAATGTGATTTTCTGGATTTTTGTTTTAGATTCAGTCTCTCACAGTTGAAGTGTACCTATGATAAAAATTGCAGACCTCTACATGCTTTGTAAGTAGGAAAACCTGCAAAATCAGCAGTGTATCAAATACTTGTTCTCCCCACTGTAGGTGTTTGTCCCAAGGTGTGCTGAGAGTGTCAAGTTCTTGTCCAGTTCTGGCATTTAGGTCGCCACAGACTAGTACATGTCTCTTTGCCTGGAAATGGTTGATCTCCCCCTCTAGGATTGAGAAGCTGTCATCGTTAAAGTATGGGGATTCTGCTGGGGGGATATACACTACCGGTCAAAAGTTTTATAACACCTACTCATTCAAGGGTTTTTCTTTCTTTTTACTATTTTCTACATTGTAGAATAATAGTGAAGACATCAAAACGATGAAATAACACATATGGAATCATGTAGTAACCAAAATAGTGTTAAACAAATCCAAATATATTTTATATTTGAGATTCTTCAAAGTAGACACCCTTGGCCTTGATGACAGCTTTGCACACTCTTGGCATTCTCTCAACCAGCTTCACCTGGAATGCTTTTCCAACAGTCTCGAAGGAGTTCCCACATATGCTGAGCACTTGTTGGCTGCTTTTCCTTCACTCTGCGGTCCAACTCATCCCAAACCATCTCAATTGGGTTGAGGTCGGGTGATTGTGGAGGCCAGGTCATCTGATGCAGCACTCCATCACACTCCTTCTTGGTCAAATAGCCCTTACACAGCCTGGAGGTGTGTTGGGTCATTGTCCTGTTGAAAAACAAATGATAGTCCCACTAAGCCCAAACCAGATGGGATGGTGTATCTCTACAGAATGCTGTGGTAGCCATGCTGGTTATGTGTGCCTTGAATTCTAAATAAATCACTGACAGTGTCACCAGAAAAGCACCCCCACATCATAACACCCCCTCCTCCATGCTTTACGGAGAGAACCACACATGCAGAAATCATCCGTTGGAACCAAAAATCTCCAATTTGGACTCCAGACCAAAGGACACATTTCCACCGGTCTAATGTCCATTGCTCGTGTTTCTTGGCCCAAGCAAGTCTCTTCTTCCTTTAGTAGTGCTTTCTTTGCAGCAATTCGACCATGAAGGCCTGATTCACACAGTCTCCTCTGAACAGTTGATGTTGAGATGTGTCTGTTACTTGAACACTGTGAAATATTTATTTGGGCTGCAATTTCTGAGGCTGGTAACTCTAATGAACTTATCCTCTGCAGCAGAGGTAACTCTGGGTCTTCCATTCCTGAGCCAGTTTCATCATAGCACTTTGATGGTTTTTGTGACTGCACTTGAAGAAACTTTCTTGAAATGTTCCGTATTGACTGACCTTCATGTCTTGAAGTAATGATGGACTGTCGTTTCTCTTTGCTTATTTGAGCTGTTCTTGCCATAATATGGACTTGGTATTTTACAAAATAGGGCTACCTTCTGTATACACCCCATACCTTGTCACAACACAACTGATTGGCTCAAACGCATTAAGAAGGAAAGAAAATCCACAAATTAACTTTTAAGAAGGCACACCTGTTAATTGAAATGCATTCCAGGTGACTACCTCATGAAGCTGGTTGAGAGAATGCCAAGAGTGTGCAAAGCTGTCATCAAGGCAAAGGGTGGCTATTTGAAGAATCTCAAATATAACATCTTTTGATTTGTTTAACACTTTTTTGGTTACTACATGATTCCATATGTATTATTTCATAGTTTTGATGTCTTCACTATTTCTACAATGTAGAAAATAGTAAAAATAAAGAAAAACCCTTGAATGAGTAGGTGTTCTAAAACTTTTCACCGGTAGTGTACTGTAGGTAGCACACAAGGACATTTTTATCTGTTGAGATAATTTCCTTATTCATTTCTAGCCAGAAGTAAAATGTTCCTGTTTTGACTCATTTAATAGAGTGGGTTAGGTCTGCTCTATACCAAATTAGCATACCCCCTGAGTCTCTTCCCTTTTTCATACCTGGTAGTTTGGTGGATGGGACTAACAGTTCTCTGTAACCTAGAGGGCAACCAGTGGGTCCGTCTCATCTATATCATGTTTCTTGTAGGATGACAATGTCTGTATTTCCTATTTCTTAGATAAAGTCTGCGTTCCTGCTCTTTAGGCCAAAGGCAGATGACCTCAGACCGCTAGCGGTCTTCACCACTGTCCGTGGCCTGCACTACCTACAAGCCAGCTCTAGCCTGGACAATTATCGGCCAGTCTGCACAGCGTGCTATCGACCCAGAGCATATAGGATTTTCTGACGGAATCACAAAATCACTGGACCTTAACACCGGACCATCGCAACGAGCTAGCTGCAACCGAATGGCTGTTGTTGGCTAATCACCACTGTCCCGACGTACCAGTTAGCCAGGCTATCTACCTCTCTGTCAACCGGACGGGACCTCCTAGTGTCGACACGGAGCCCCGCCGATCCATCACAACTGGTCTGCCGACGTAATTGTCTGATGTGGTTTCAACAGGCTTCCCGTGGCGACGACCACGAAGATCCATCTGCTAGCCCTGGACCGCTAGCATGCGCAATCAACAGCCGTGCCTCCTGCTCGCCTGTGCTGTAGCAGCCTACGAACTGCTCCCTGATTTACTTATTGCTGTTCACTGGACCTTATGATCACTCAGCTACACAGCTAATGCCTACTGGACTGTTCTTTTACACAGTACCCCATCCTGTTTATCTGTTTAGCCTCAGCCCAAACTTTCATCGCCTTTACCAGTTGTTGTCTTCACTCTCTCTAATAACACCTGTTATTGCTTTATTCCTCTCTCCCATGTCAATATGCCTTGCCTATTGCTGTTCCAGTTAGTTATTATTATACAATTTCACTGTAGAGCCCCAAGTTCCGCTCAACCAGCCTCAGAGAGCTCCTTTGTCCCACCCCCCATACACGCGGAGACCGGCTCAATCGGTACCTCCAGTGATGCTCTCTTTCATAGTTACCCAATGCTTAGGTGTACCTCCACTGTACTCATATCCTTCCATATCCTTGTCTCTACATAATGCACTGAATCTATTCTACAACACCCGGGAATCTGCCCCTTTTATTCTCTGTACCCAACGCACTAGAAGACCAGTTCTTAAAGCCTTTAGCCGTATCCTTATTCTATTCCTCCTCTGTTCCTCTGGTGATGTAGAGGTTAACCCAGGCACTGTAGCCCCCAGTATCACTCCTACCCCCCAGGCACTATCATTTGTTGACTTCTGTAACCATAAAAGCCTTGGTTTCTTGCATGTTAACATCAGAAGCCTCCTCCCCAAGTTTGAGGTATTCACTGCGTTAGCACACTCTGCCAATCCTGATGTTCTAGCAGTGTCTGAATCTTGGCTTAGGAAGGCCACCAAAAATTCAGAAATGTCCATCCCGAACTACAGCATTTTCCATCTAGATAGAACTGCCAAAGGGGGCGGAGTTGCAATCTACTGTAGACATAGCCTGCAGAGCTCCATCATACTATCCAGGTCTGTGCCCAAACAGTTTGAGCTTCTACTTCTAAAAATCCACCTTTCCAGAAATAAGTCTCTCACTGTTGCCGCTTGCTACAGACCCCCCTCAGCCCCCAGTTGTGCCCTGGACACCATATGTGAATTGCTTGCCCCCCATCTATCTATCCTCAGAGTTCGTACTGCTTGGTGACCTAAACTGGGATATGCTTAACACCCCGGCCGTCCTACAATCTAAACTAGATGCCCTCAATCTCACACAAATTATCAAGGAACCTACCAGGTACAACCCTAAATCCGTAAACATGGGCACCCTCATAGATTTCATCCTTTCTAAATTACCCTCTAAATATACCTCCGCTGTCTTCAACCAGGATCTCAGCGATGACTGCCTCATTGCCTGCGTCCGTAATGAGTCTGTGGTCAAACGACCACCCCTCATCACTGTCAAACGCTCCCTAAAACACTTCAGCGAGCAGGCCTTTCTAATTGACCTGGCCCGGGCATCCTGGATGGATATTGACCTCATTCCGTCAGTAGAGGATGCCTGGATAATCTTCAAAAGTGCTTTCCTCTCCATCTTAAATAAGCATGCCCCATAAAATAATTCAGAACTAAGAACAGATATAGCCCCTGGTTCACCCCAGACTTGACTGCCCTTGACCAGCACAAAAACATCCTGTGGCGTACTGCATTAGCATCGAACAGCCCCCGCGATATGCAACTTTTCAGGGAAGTCAGGAACCAATATACACAACCAGTTAGGAAAGCAAAGGCTAGCTTTTTCAAACAGAAATTTGCATCCTGTAGCACTAACTCCAACAAGTTTTGGGACACTGTAAAGTCCATGGAGAATAAGAGCACCTCCTCCCAGCTACCCACTGCACTGAGGCTAGGAAACACTGTCACGATAATCGAGAATTTCAATAAGCATTTTGCTACGGCTGGCCTTGCTTTCCACCTGGCAACCCCTACCCCGGCCACCAGCTCTGCACCCTCCGCTGCAACTTGCCCATGCTCCCCCCCCCGCTTCTCCTTCACCCAAATTCAGATAGCTGATGTCCTGAAAGAGCTGCTAAATCTGGACCCCTACAAATCAGCTGGGCTAGACAATCTGGACCCTTTCTTTTTAAAATTAGCCGCCGTAATTACTATTACTAGTCTGTTCAACCTCTCTTTCGTATCATCTGAGATCCCCAGAGATTGGAAAGCTGCCGCGGTCATCCCCCTCTTCAAAGGGGGTGACACTCTAGATCCAAACTGTTACAGACCTATATGCATCCTGCCCTGCCTTTCGAATGTATTTGAAAGCCAAGTTAACAAACAGATCACCGACCATTTCGAATCCCACCGTACCATCTCCGCTATGCAATCTGGTTTCCGAGCTGGTCATGGGTGCACCTCAGCCACGCTCAAGGTCCTAAACGATATAATAACCGCGATTGATAAATGACAGTACTGTGCAGCCGTCTTCATCGACCTGGCCAAGTCTTTTGACTCTGTCAATCACCGCATTCTTATTGGAAGACTAAATACATTTACATTTTTACATTTTAGTAATTTAGCAGACGCTCTTATCCAGAGCGACTTACAGTTAGTGAGTGCATACATTTTTTTCATACTGGCCCCCCGTGGAAAATGAACCGACAACCCTGGCGTTGCAAGCGCCATGCTCTACCAACTGAGCTACAGGGGACTACTTCTCAGATAGAGTTCAATGTGTCAAATCGGAGGGCCTGTTCTCTGGACCTCTGGCAGTCTCTATGGGGGTGCCACAGGGTTTAATTCTCGGGCCGACTCTATTCTCTGTGTACAGTGGGGAAAAAAAGTATTTAGTCAGCCACCAATTGTGCAAGTTCTCCCACTTAAAAAGATGAGAGAGGCCTGTAATTTTCATCATAGGTACACGTCAACTATGACAGACAAATTGAGAAAAAAAAATCCAGAAAATCACATTGTAGGATTTGTTATGAATTTATTTGCAAATTATGGTGGAAAATAAGTATATGGTCACCTACAAACAAGCAAGATTTCTGGCTCTCACAGACCTGTAACTTCTTCTTTAAGAGGCTCCTCTGTCCTCCACTCGTTACCTGTATTAATGGCACCTGTTTGAACTTGTTATCAGTATAAAAGACACCTGTCCACAACTTCAAACAGTCACACTCCAAACTCCACTATGGCCAAGACCAAAGAGCTGTCAAAAGACACCAGAAACAAAATTGTAGACCTGCACCAGGCTGGGAAGACTGAATCTGCAATAGGTAAGCAGCTTGGTTTGAAGAAATCAACTGTGGGAGCAATTATTAGGAAATGGAAGACATACAAGACCACTGATAATCTCCCTCGATCTGGGGCTCCACGCAAGATCTCACCCCGTGGGGTCAAAATGATCACAAGAACAGTGAGCAAAAATCCCAGAACCACACGGGGGGACCTAGTGAATGACCTGCAGAGAGCTGGGACCAAAGTAACAAAGCCTACCATCAGTAACACACTATGCCGCCAGGGACTCAAATCCTGCAGTGACAGACGTGTCCCCCTGCTTAAGCCAGTACATGTCCAGGCCCGTCTGAAGTTTGCGAGAGTGCATTTGGATGATCCAGAAGAGGATTGGGAGAATGTCATATGGTCAGATGAAACCAAAATATAACTTTTTGGTAAAAACTCAACTCGACGTGTTTGGAGGACAAAGAATGCTGAGTTGCATCCAAATAACACCATACCTACTGTGAAGCATGGGGGTGGAAACATCATGCTTTGGGGCTGTTTTTCTGCAAAGGGACCAGGACGACTGATCCGTGTAAAGGAAAGAATGAATGGGGCCATGTATCGTGAGATTTTGAGTGAAAACCTCCTTCCATCAGCAAGGGCATTGAAGATGAAACGTGGCTGGGTCTTTCAGCATGACAATGATCCCAAACACACCGCCCGGGCAAAGAAGGAGTGGCTTCGTAAGAAGCATTTCAAGGTCCTGTAGTGGCCTAGCCAGTCTCCAGATCTCAACCCCATAGAAAATGTTTGGAGGGAGTTGAAAATCCGTGTTGCCCAGCGACAGCCCCAATACATCACTGCTCTAGAGGAGATCTGCATGGAGGAATGGGCCAAAATACCAGCAACAGTGTGTGAAAACCTTGTGAAGACCTACAGAAAATGTTTGACCTGTGTCATTGCCAACAAAGGGTATATAACAAAGTATTGAGAAACTTTTGTTATTGAACAAATACTTATTTTCCACCATAATTTGCAAATAAATTCATTAAAAATCCTACAATGTGATTTTCTGGATTGTTTTTTCTCATTTTGTCTGTCATAGTTGACGTGTACCTATGGTGAAAATTACAGGCCTCTCTCATCTTTTTAAGTGGGAGAACTTGCACAATTGGTGGCTGACTAAATACTTTTTTTCCCCACTGTATATCAATGATGTCGCTCTTGCTTCTGGTGACTCTCAGATCCACCTCTTCGCAGACGACACCATTTTGTATACATCTGGCCCTTCATTGGACACTGTGTTAACAAACCTCCAAACGAGCTTCAATGCCATACAACACTCCTTCCTTGGCCTCCAACTGCTCTTAAACGCTAGTAAAACTAAATGCATGCTCTTCAATTGAATGCTGCTTGCACCCGCCCGCCCGACTAGAATCACTACTCTCGGCGGGTCTGACTTAGAATATGTGGACAACTACAAATACTTAGGTGTCTGGTTAGACCGTAAACTCTGCTTCTAGACTCACATTAAGCATCTCCAATCCAAAGTTAAATCTAGAATCGGCTTCCTATTTCGCAGCAAAGCCTCCTTCACTCATGCTGCTAAACATGCCCTCGTAAAACTGACTATCCTACCGATCCTTGACTTCGGCAATGTCATTTACAAAATAGCTTCCAACACTCTACTCAGCAAATTGGATGTAGTCTATCACAGTGTCATCCATTTTGTCACCAAAGCCCCATATACTACCCACCATTGTGACCTGTACGCTCTTGTTGGTTGGCCTTCACTACATATTCGTCACAAAACCCACTGGCTCCAGGTCATCTATAAATATCTTAGCTCATTGGTCACCATAGCAACACCCACCCGTAGTATGCGCTCCAGCAGGTATATCTCAATAGTCATCCCCAAAGCCAACACCTCCTTTGGCCGCCATTCCTTCCAGTTCTCTGCTGCAAATGACTGGAGCGAACTGCAACAATCTCTGAAGCTGGAGACACTTATCTCCCTCACTAACTTTAAGCATCAGTTGTCAGAGCACCTTACCGATCACTGCACCTGTACACAGCCCATCTGTAATTAGCCCACCCAACTACCTCATCCCCATATTGCTATTTATTTTGCTAATTTGCACCCCAGTATCTCTATTTGCACATCATCTTCTGCACATCTATCACTCCAGTGTTAATACTAAATTGTAATTATTTTGCACTATGGCCTGTTTATTGCCTTACCTCCATAACTTACTACATTTGCACACACTGTATATAGATTTTCTATTGTGTTATTGACTGTACGTTTTGTTTATTCCATATGTAACTCTGTGTTGTTGTTGTTTTTATCGCACTGCTTTGCTTTATCTTGGCCAGGTCGCAGTTGTAAATGAGAACTTGTTCTCAACTAAAAAATATTAATATTCCAGGATGAGATTGTAAAAGATTTGTGTCCCATAGTGTCTAGTGTTGTTTTTGTGTGGTTTAGGCTCAGATCATTACAGTAGATGTGCGCAGAGCATGTTGAGCATCTCATAGATACCTCTTAGGTCGCAAGATGGGGCTTGGGCGGGTGTATTATTGGGGGTTGGGCCGGTTGCTCTGCTCACAGCCTGGGCAATAGTGCAGCGTTCATGTTGAGAGCCTTGCTGCAGGGGTGGGGGGCAGAAAGGGCATAGGTCTGATCTGGGGGGGCCAGGATTTCTTTGGGGGGGGGGGGGGGGGGGGGGGGGGTGTTCTCAGCTGGTTGGGGTGTGGCTGATGATGCTGTGGTCTGGATGTAGGTCCTCTCTGCGTGGGTTCTCTCAGTGCAGGTCCTTCGGGAGGGGGTCTTGCAGGTCTAGGGGGTGTCTCGCTGGTCTGGGCAGGGTGCATTGCTCTGATTCTCCTGTGTGAGGTGCTGGGGCAGCAGTTGAGGACCTGAGTTATACTCTCAACTGCACTCTTGATCAAGCATTACTTCCTCCATCTATTCTCTCTTTTACTCCCTCTCCATCAGTATCTTTGTTTTTATGCATTTTCTTACCCAGTAATTAGCCCATCTCTCTCTCTCCCCCTCTCTCTCCCTCCCTCCCTCCCTCCATTATCTGCAAGAGATTCTCAACATGGGTGAGAACAGGGACTGGTTCCACTCACACAGCTGCTCCACATATAAACACACACACTTTTGATCACATATAGACACTCATATTCACACACACAGCTGCATTGTTTTCTTTCTTATTGATGGCTCTGTCCTTCGATATGATACTACGCCACAATAGTCCCTGCACGCAGCATTTTTTGGGGTGAGTGCCGGGAAAGGCATATATCGACGTCCTCAGGACCACTTTAAACGCCCGAAATCGACGGATGTTTCCAGTGACCAGGCTGACAGCACAACCACACTACAACACAGCCGCACCACTATACCAAGGAGATCAGGAGAGAGAGAGGCCAAAGGTGACACATACTCAGAGAACACACTCTCTCTTTCTGACTTTCTCTCGCCATGCCTCTGGCGTGTATGAGTTCATACATTCCCACAGAGACACTAGACAAGGAGAAGAGAGAGCGAGTGAAGATAGAGGGGAGAATAAAAATACAAACCACCACAGAAGCAGAGCGGAATTACCATTTCAAGCGTCGTACACACGTTTTCCTTGTGAACACAGACTGCTAGAGGAGAGGAGAAGAGCAGAGGGGAGAGGGGGAGGACGGAGGAGCAGAGAAGAGGGGAGGATGGAGAGTGAGTCAGGATGCACACAGGCCCCCACTGGCAAACAGGGATCAGAGCATAAGAGGTGTGTGTGTTGGGGGGTTGAGAAATGAAGAGAGCAGAAGACACATTTCTGTTGTTCGCTGTAACTATGGACAGTGAAGTTGTATTGTCTTGTGTGTGCGCACGTGCGTGCGTGTCATACCTGACCTGTTTATACTGTGTGCACATTATACAATATATTAACGTACAGACACATGGATGCCCTCCAAATGCGTTTTAACCTTGTCCACATAAAGAGAGGGGGAGAGAGAGCGAGAGAGAGAGAAGGAGAGAGCGAGTCCAGTTGAGCTCAGTAATTACCATTAATGAAAGCAGCGTTGCATGCAGGGACTAATCCTGCTCTTCTATTCACTCTCTGGGCCTCAGGGACACAGCCCAAAATCTCATATCCTCCGCTTTCCCACCTCTCTCCCTCTTTTTCCCCCTCCTCTTTCCCCTAAATCTCATTGTCTCCCTCTATCTCCTCATCCAGGCTCTCCACCCCTCCTAACTCCCTCCCATGCCAGTTCCTTTCCTTGATCCCTTTACTCTTATTTTTGCTCTTCATGACCTACTTTAAAAAAATTCTTACCAGTCTCTCTTCCTCGTCTTTCCCCCTCTTTGTTTGTCATCCCCCATCAACTCTATCAGTCTCTCCTAATTCTTTCTCCCTCCTCCTCTCTCTTCAACTTCCCTGTCTGTCTCCCACCTTTCCATCCTCATTCTCACCGACTCTCTCTCTATCTCTCTATCTCTCTCCACAATGAATCCGGAGGGTTACATTTTGTACATTTCCATCAACTCCCTGTTCTCTCCCTCCCATTCCCGCTCTCTCTCCGGCTCTCTGCCACTCCCTTGCTTTCATCTCCCTCACATTCCACTCTTTTTCATCCCATATTCTATCTCATTCTCCCCCACCCTCCTCCTCCTCTCGCATTTCTATCTCTCTACCTTTCTCCGACACACAATCTCTCTTCCCGCTCTCCTGGGCATGCTTTCGTCTCGCTTTACTCAAGCATTTTTCCTCTTGCATTTCCCTGATGGATACATACACTTACACCTCCACTGTCCTACACACACACACAGACGTACACACACACAGACGTACACACAAACACAGACGTACACACACATACGTACACACACACAGACGTACACACACACAGACGTACACACACACACACACACACACACACACACACACACACACTGCTCCCTGATGGATACGAACACTTACACCTCCAAAGTACAACACCTACGCATACACTCCTCCCTGACTGATATAGTCAGTATTAGCCCATTAACAGTAATCCAACTCTGCCAGTCATAATACCAATGGCTCAATACAAACACATTGACATCAGAGAGAGAGAGACAAACATACATACACATGACCTTGTAGTGGCAGGCCTTGCCCCCGAAGTGACTGTTCACACTGTAAGCAAGGATTTCCTTTGTGTTGTCTTCGGAATGCTGCATTATCTCACCAACCCCCTATTGTCACATCTCTGTGAAGCAAGTGGTGCTTTTGCTTTTACATCCTGTAGGTCTGATATCTGATTGGAAGTTCACTTTTACAGTATTCTATTGGTCAACGACTCAGATTTTGAATCCAAACATGTTCAAATGTTATAAAAGGGGCTTAGATTAATTGTCTCTTTCTCTCTTTTTTCTCGACCTGCTGTGGTGAGATATACTCTGTCTCTCTCCCATGAGCTATGGGCCATGGCACAAGCCATGGTTTCTTTGTATCGCTCTCTCCTTCTCTGATCATGCCTAGATTGTAATGCTTGTTAATGCTTTGTAACTTAAGCTTATGCCTTGTATGTGAATTAATTTCATTTTACAATGTCATTAAATCTAACTCTCAGACCTTTCTTGATAGTTTATTCCTGTAACTCAACAATAGTCCTGCTTGCATGTCGTTTAATCATTTTATGGAGTCAGATAAACATTGTAATAGACTTTGTCATATTAATTGCATAGTCTTATCACAGGTCGCATGTGAGGTAGGCTATATATAATATCTACATACTGTATATGACAATATTTACCCCACTACAACCCAACGCATCATGCTTATTAACTCATATTCATTAACGTTGATGGATTCACTAGCTCCTCTCAATGGTGTCCCTAAAAACAAAACATTAGCAGCTACTGTATGTTGGCACTGCCATGTTGATCTGAGCCTTGCTGTTGGAAAAGCACTACAGTGTCCGACTTTCGGCTGTCGCAGATGCAGCTCCCCCGACTTCACACACGACTTTCGTCTACAGTCGGCTTCGGTAGGCTTGTTGCCCGAACACAACCCGTATCTTACGTCAGATGGCGTCACTCCTACGCAAAGCTCGTCTCTCAACCGATCTGTCTTGTAGGTCGTGGAACTCATTTTCAAATTTTTAATATTCCAGAGCTTTCGACATTCAACAATGAAAACATAGTTCCAAATGTGTTATATCACTACGCTCTCGTATGACTCTCCATGAAATAGACAGAATAACTAAATTATTAAAAACGTTATGACAGTGATTTTGCAATTGTGAGAAAATAAAAAAACGATCTTACTGACATAGCTAATGTTAGTTATCTAGCTAGCTCTACCTTTAACAGTTACTGACATAAAAAGCTTGGTTAGCCCGTTTCAATTATCCTGAAGTTGTAGTAAGTCAGCATGTTTCTCCACTATCACTAACGTGCATCTTTGTATCGTTGGGTCAACTGAGTACAGCAGCTGACTCGGGAGGCTACTACAATGACTTGCGGCAGACAGCTGCTTCATGAAAACTCATAATAATGTTAGCATTAGCACTACTACAGTAGCTTACTAGCTAGTGTTTGTTGGAAGCATTCAACATTGTGTGTGCTGCAAAAAGGGTAAAGGCCTCCTGCGGGGGCTGGGATTAAAAATGAAAATATAGGACAAAACACACATTACGACAAGAGAGACACCACAACACTACATAAAGAGAGACCTAAAACAACAACATAGCATGGCAGCAACACATGACAACACAGCATGGTAGCAACACAACATAATAATAATAAATAATAATATGCCATTTAGCAGACGCTTTTATCCAAAGCGACTTACAGTCATGCGTGCATACATTTTTTTGTGTATGTAACATGACAACAACATGGTAGCAACACAACATGGCAGCAGCACAACATGGTATCAGCACAAAACATGGCACAAACATTATTGGGCACAGACAACAGCACAAAGGCAAGAAGGTAGAGGCAACAATACATCACGCGAAGCCCCAAAGTAGGTAGCTGGTTGGTTAGCATCATTTCAGTGACTGGCTCAGCTAGCAAGCTATGTAATGTTGGCTTTCGTGCCCATTGTCAAACTTCAGAAAAACTGCTCCATGAAACACAAAAATCCTTAGCTAGATATAAAACGGTGGGACTAAGACGTCCTCAACAGACAAAACATCAACATTATTGACAGATTGTTTGTTCTACAGTAGCTTTGATTAATTTAGACTGTTTTGAGGCAGAAATGGGGTTCAGCGGAGTATGTCACCTAGGTAATATTTTTGAATGTCGAACTACTTTTGATCTATCCCATTACCCTTTGCGAAATATGAGACAGATCAGTGCTGACGGAATCAACGTGCTATTTGATGTAAGACAATGACATACTCTGGCATTACCTCCCAGTGATTAAAAGTTTTGTGATGCCCTATTCTATACGACCTTCTGAAGCTACTCTGCTGCTTATGGATGAGACCATTAGGCATGTCACCCAGGTAAAGTAATGATATGATAAAAATAGTGTGCTGGTGAAATTAAATGGCCTTCTGGGCACATCACCACCTCTTAGAGTAGGTCTATTTCTTACACATTCATAATCAACCCTGCTGCCCAGGAGAATGAAGTAATGTGGACCGCACCTCTTCACTCTAATCCATTAATTCCTCTTAATTAAACATTTTTATTAAATTGCATACCTCCTAGGCTAAAGAGGTCTGAACTACTAACGAGCTTCCTTTCTATGCATGCAGAAGTATTTCAACATTATTATTATTTTTGTATTTTTTACACTTTTTTCTCCCCAATTTCGTGATTCCAATTGATAGTTACAGTCTTGTCCCATTGCTGCAACTCCCCTACGGACTCGGGAGAGGCGAAGGTCGAGAGCCATGCGTCCTCCGAAACACGACCCTGCCAAGCCGCACTGCTTCTTGACACACTGCTTGCTTAACCCGGAAGCACCAATGTGTCGGAGGAAACCCTGTCCAGCTGGCGAGCGTGGTCAGCTTGCAGGTGCCCGGCCCGCCACAAGGAGTCGCAAGAGCGCGAGGGGACAAGGAAATCCCGGCCGGCCAAACCCTCCCCTTAACCAGACGACGCTGGGCCAATTGTGCGCCACCTCATGGGTCTCCCGGTCACGGCTGACTGTGACACAGCCTGGGTTCGAAACTGGGTCTGCAGTGACGCCTCAAGCACTGCGATGCAGTGCCTTAGACCGCTGCGCCACTCAGGAGGCTGTGTTTCAACATTATAACAACGCGGGCAGGGTCTAATTATTCAAAGCCTCTTCAGTTACTTGATAACACATTCTCTTCGGCAATTACGTCCTGGCCAAGAGCTTGAGATGGTTACGTAAAGAACAGGCTGAGGGGAGAGGAGGCACAGTGGAGTGGTTCCCTATTTAAACACACAGATAATGGGTACGGAAGAGCAGTCTCTACGCACACACACCGACACACAGTAGAGAGGAGGGGCATTGGGTATTAGTAACAGTAGAGCATTTGTCCCGACTGGAATTTCTCTTCATGTCCGTGGGTGCAGGTTGTACCAGTTGACCACCATCGTCATGGTGACTGAATGGGGTTGGATGTAACAGAGAAAGGTTGTTAATTTTGGGGAGCTCAGACAGAGTGGAATGGCTGGCCATCGTTTAAGGACATAGGGATTCATACAGACACAGGGGGAGTGCTCTTTCTGGCCACGGCCAAGACAGTTAGGCTCTTACACTGATACTCAGCCATGGTATAGGTTAGAGCAAGGGTATTCAACCGGGTGTCCGCAGCCCCCCAATGTTTTTATGAATATTGCTAGCAACAACAGAATAAACACATTTTTTTATGACATACCTACAGTAGAAAAGAGGAAAATATATTATTTCTAATGATGTCAACTTTATTTCTCAAGAGGAGAACAACAAAACTGGGAAGAGAAAATTGGGTACACACGTATATACACGTATACACACACACACACACACTGAAAGCTTCTCCTAGTTGAACTCCCTGGGCAGTAGTGTGTCCAACCTCTTCTATTCTGCTCTGTCCACTGAGAGTTGGCTCTGATAAACTAGCACTATTATATTCCACTCCCAATTCCCCTCCACCATTTTATGCTCACTCCCACAGCATTCTCCCTCTGTCCTCGCCTTCCGTGGTAATGACGGGGCAAGACAGACCCACGCACACACATACACACACACACACACACACACACACCCCTACCTACAAAACTCCCTTGGATTAACTTGTCATTTGAATCTATAGCGCCTATTCTCTGGACCAAACTCCAGCAGAAATAAATGGGGGATATAGAGGCTTATAAGCCATTAAAAGTAAAGAGATACCACCAGCGGTGAATACAGCCCAGGAATCTGTAATCACACTGACATTCTGTATTCAGTTTATATATCAGTGTGATGGCAGGTCCTAATGTGTGCTTTACTGTGGACTCTAATGGTGAGGTGGAAATTAGTGTTATATATCGTCAGTGTACACACAAATCTATGTGAATTACGTCTGTTTAAGAGCTGGTGTAGACGGCTGGCCCAGGGCTTCAGGTTTCTCATGCATAATGGTTATGCAAAGCAGCAGATGCAGCTGTGAATCTCCTCTCACACAGAGGAAGGACATATTAAATACATAGCTGTAGATTATACTCTGTAGACGTAGTACTTCTCTGGAGTTCAAAAGAGGCTCTCCGGAGTTTTACTAAGAGGAAGGAGAGAAAATTCTGAGTCAAAAACTTTTGAACCCAAGGATTCAGAAGCCAGCATCAAGGGGTTCTTAGACAGACAATCTGTAATGGCAGATATAGGGGGGAGGTCAAAAAAGGGGAGGTCACAATTCTGTTTGTACAGTTGTTTACATGCATATGCTTCTTAATAAAAACCTATTTGAAACGAGCCATTACATTTCGTTATTATCATGGCATTTCATTATTATTCAGGTTACTACTTATAAATATTAATCAACAAATTAATAAATGCCAGGTTGGAAAGGATCTGTCACATTTTTGTATTAACAACATTAACGGAGTCCAAATAAATATATTCCTACCTTGTCCATGTCTTGGCTTTTCTGCATATAAAAAAATGAAACACAGATCCTATTTCGACACACAATACCATTCAAACGAAGTCTGGTGGGGTTTCTCCCACTTTTCCCGAAAAATTAGCATAATGTAACAAACCCTGCTGCTGCGGTCATTTGACAGTTCTTCAAAGAGAAGACGCCGTAATGAGATAAATAATGTAGCCTAAGTTACTGAAAAAAGGCCTTTTACAAGAATAAATCATAACAGGAGCATTTCATTCTTATTAAAGAGAGTCCAGACAGGCTACTTTAGGAAACTTTCTGGATGGACATATAGGTCTAGGCATAGAGTGAATCAGCGAACTCACACATGCACACCCCCGTAAAAGCACCTGTCAATCAAAGCCACCAGCGTATGTCAGACACAAGAGCAAATATTTATCCTTCCCTTAAAACGTATACAAAAACACGTCCTACCTTAGGCTTTCCTAAAGTAGGCTATAAGATAATTAATTGACAAGGAAAGAATGAAGGGGACAGCTATGCTATAGTATGAAGATGAAATTGAAAATCATTAAAATAGAAAGTAATACATGCAACATGTCCATAGCCTATTTATTAGCGACGCTGATTATCGAGGGGGAGAGTATTATAATTATTTTTCAAATACTGTGAGGAACTATTATAATTTGAAAGGATGTTAAAAAAACTGACTTTGTTGATATACTGTGTGAGGTGAAGAAACATTACTGAGAATCCCAGCTGGGCAGGTACTTCTATGCGTGAATCGGCGCGCACACTCCGTCAACATGAACAGGACAAAGAAACCGGACACATGCTCATTGTTCACATGGAGCGCATAAATGATGGTATTAAATAAACTCAATCTTGTTCCTCACAAGTGTAGCAGGTTGTGAACGTTTCTACTCCGAGAATGAGAATGGTAAATTACTGTAATTAATACATGCATTAACAGAAATGTATGTAACCAAATGACAGGGATTACTGGTAAATTGCCTGTTTTACAAGCGGTAGATTACCACATGGGCAATGTTCCCTCTAAGCTGCGTACATGCGTGGGTGAGCAGTAGCCCTGAGACTGCTGTGCAGCACCCAGAGCTCCCCGGACCAGGACTGCTGTGCAGAGCGCAGAAGAAATATCAGCACACAGAGAGAAGCACTTAACTCAACTTCCTAGAGTGTTAGTTAACACTATCAACATTTCCCTTTACTGTGGCAATTGTGATGGAATCAACGCAATATTAGCCATTTTCAATGCAATATACCGAAACAAAACAAACTATGCCTTGTTGTAGGCAGAACGCATAGGAGTAGGATTCTATTACGCAGGACTCAATGGCACAACTAATCAGAGCTGCAGTAGCCCATTGCCATATATGAATCTGTGCCATTTACCTTGAACTGGACTGTGTTTACAGCTGTGGTTGTGAGTAGACGTGCTTGTTTTGAGATCAAAGCAAGAACTGCATGTAGCCACGTGTGCACATTTTGTTCATATCCTTTGCTAGTTAGTGAGTTATTAACCCAGTTATAGATCATTTGTAGTCAGCAATAGGGGAGTGATTACTCCCTACAAGAGCACAAAACGTGTACATCTTTAAAAAGCGTGTCAGGTAAAGAGCTTTTTTTTTGTCAAGTAGCCAATAGGCAGAGGGTAGCATAATTTGTCTGATTCTCTGTAATAATGGTATGGGAATATTATTTATTATTTTGTAAAGTGGTTTCTTGTATCAAACAACACAACAACATTTTCAGTCACCTCCTTGTCTGAAGGACAAGTGGATAAACAGGTTAATGTCAAAATTCTCATGAAATATAGACCTACATTGAACACCACAAATTGGCTGCTACTGAAGGCTGAATGATAGAACAGCTATTTCCATGTTAAAATGTTATGGGATGCATTTTCTCCATTGTTTTTGATGGTAGGACACTCTGGTAGGCCTACATTATGATCCAATAGCCACAGTAGCCTACTTGGCCACTGTTAAAACTGTAACTTAAAGCGGGTACAGCCTCAGTGTTCACAGTAAATGTGCGCTGGAAGTTGTACAGAACGTTCAAGTTTGCGCTCAGCAGACCTGAAATTTGCTCAGTGCTGAAAATAATGAGTGAACATTGCACATGGGCATTCATAAAAGTGCATTGCGGGCCGACACTGTATAACCTAGGCTACTATTCTACTTTGTAGGGATAAGAGGGGGGCAATTTTTTCCGGTCTCGCCTAGGAAGGCATATTGGCCAGGACCGGGCATGATCAGCGTTGATTAGTCTATAAATTAAGAAAAGATTCAGTATCAAATTATACCATGCCAGGTTGGAGAGGACTGGCCCATTGTCCATTTCACACAACATTAGCGCATTATAGGCCTCAGAGCCAGAACAATGTTGTCGACTGCTGTTGAATAATTAATCAATAGTCAGACACATCCAACGTTTTTTAAAAGAAGAGAGCAATTTAAACGTGAATTGTATAAAAGTCCATCAAACCATTTTCTTAGTGAAGTGCCATAGTCTATAGCGCACTACACCCCCGCCCATCATCAGTTGGAAAGAAGAGTCGATTTAGAAAGTTTAAAAGACAGACTAAGTTAGCAAAACAATTGCTTATAATCATTAGTAAACACTCCTGCTATTAGGTCAAGTTTATCTACATGAAAATAAAGTTTAAAAAAATAATTTAAATCCTAAAATGAATGTAGGTCTATTTACAAGGTTTTGATGGTTATTTTATTTTCATGATGGTCTTCATCCATAACCGCCAGTTACATGGTTATTCAATTACCAACACAGCCTTGTCAACCTCTCTCCCTGCTCCCTCTGGGTATCTTCTTAGATTTAATTGGCTGTCTGACAGTCCTCTATGGACTTGTAGGTCACTGATTACACTGATGGGGTCGGTGGCAGGGAAAGTAATGTGACCAAATACATGTTGTGACAGTTGTATGGTTACTGAAGCAGCAAGGGACATATTTACAATGAGAGGGTTTCAGTTTAGCATGAGACTGGACTGCAGGCCCTGAAGGTATCACTGTGTATTGGTGTGTGTGTGTGTATGTGTGTGTGTGTATGTTTGTGTGTGTGTGTACTCTACAGCATTTTTCAAATTTATGAAGTATGTATGTGTGTTGCATATGATAATGTTTGTATAGTGTTTGTAGTTGCCACATATTTAGCATTGAAACCCTTCAGTTTACTGGTCACCAGGCCTCCAAACAATCAGGATGTACAGTGTGAGTATCTGTGAGGGGGAGTGGAAAACAAAGGAAGTCACTAGGGTTCGTTCCCTTAAACTAATGCTGCAGCATACCCTTGAGGAGGAAGGTTGGTTATAAATAGTTTTTGTTGTGATGCAAAGGGTTATGAATGCAAATGACATGTAAATGTGTCCAACAAACATTGCATCTGTATTGAAATGCGCCTTAGATGCTGAAATGTGAGTAAGGTTTGGGACTGAGGACATGAATCAGAGCTTTGGTTGAAAGTGGATGCGAATGCGCGCAATAATGGAGAGGTTTTTCAGAGCCTTCGTGTGCTCTACTCTACATAAAGACACTAGCATAATCCACACTGCATTTCTGAATTCCTGGATATTGTTTGGAATGTAAATATTTTATGATAAACTCTATTTGAAAATGTTTGTTAAAATGTTCGAAAAGTGGAAATATAGGTAACTAACTTTGAAAATGATCTATGTTTTCTACAGTCCACTGAAGAGGGAGGTGCTGATTATTCAAACACGCACGCACACACAGACGGGCGTGCGCACACAGGGAGCATGCCAAAACAAAAGCCTTTGATACCGGTGATCAGACAAACATGCCATGTCTTCAGAAATCCACAAAGCCAGTTGAAAGCTTACCCACCCATCAAACCCTCCTTTAACTCTATTTCTCTTTGTTTTCTTTCTCTCCATCTCTTTCTCAGAACTTTAGCAAGGATGGTCATCAGATGTGAGAATGAATCACTCCAACATCATCATGTGCATAATACACTGTGTCTATTAGTCTACTGAGACAATTCAATGGCTGTACTTTGAAAGAATGTCCTTCAGCAGATTTGAAATAACTTTCACTAATTCTGTGAATTAAGATTATTACTTAGAAAATAAACTCTCTCCAACTTTCCATCTCAAGAGAATACTTTTTCCACAGTCTGGCATTAAGCAGCTCTCTGCATGTCTCACACCATTTCACATTCACAAACTTACTGATATTAGACTGCTGAAGGTCAGGGAGTTATACTGGGTGTATTATTGCTTTAGTGTGTGTGTTTGGTGCTTGGGTATACAGAATGTTTCTCTGGACCCCAGTACTCAAGTGTGTGTGTGTGTGTGGGGGGGGGGGGGTCCCCGTCCCTAACCCCCTCCAACACCCAAACAGATTTTAGAGGAAAATTGGAAAGGAAATTCTCTATAGGCGGTCTCTCTCTCTCTTCTAGAGAGATATATAGAGAGAGATATTCGAGACTCTCTCTCTCCTCTCTCTCTCTCTCTCTCTCTCTCTCTCTCTCTCTCTCTCTCTCTCTCTCTTCTCCTCTCTTCTCTCTCTCTCTCTCTCTCTCTCTCCTTCTCTCTTCTCTCCTTTATTGGCATGGGAAACATATGTTTACATTGCCAAAGCAAGTGAAATAGATAAACAAAAGTCAAATAAACAATCAAAAATAAACAGTAAACATTACATTCACAAAAGTTCCAAAAGAATAAAGACATTTCAAATGTCATATTATGTATATACACAGTGTTGTAACGATGTGCAAATAGTTAAAGTACAAAGGGCACACTGTGGTTTTTCACCCAATAGATATTGGAGTTTGTTTTCAAATTCTTTGTGGGTCTGTGTAATCTGAGGGAAATATGTGTCTCTAATATGGTCATACATTTGGCAGGAGGTTAGGAAGTGCAGCTCAGTTTCCACCTCATTTTCTGGGCAGTGTGCACATAGCCTGTCTTCTCTTGAGAGCCAGGTCTGCCTACGTCTATGCTCACTGAGTCTGTACATAGTCAAAGCTTTCCTTAATTTTGTGTCAGTCACAGTGGTCATGTATTCTGCCGCTGTGCACTCTCTGTTTAGGACCAAATAGAGTTCTAGTTTGCTCAGTTTTTTTGTTAATTATTTCCAATGTGTCAAGTAATTATCTTTTTGTTTTCTCATGATTTGGTTGGGTCAAGTTGTGTTGCTGTCCTGGGGCTTTGCGGGGTCTGTTTGAGTTTGTGAACAGAGCCCCAGGACCAGCTTGCTTATGAGACTCTTCTCCAGGTTCATCTCTCTGCAGGTGATGGCTTTGTTATGGAAGGTTTGGGAATCCCTTCCTTTTAGATGGTTGTAGAATTTAACAGCTCTTTTCTGGATTTATCCCTCTACAGGCATCCTGTAGCTCAGTTGGTAGAGCATGGTGTTTGCAACGCCAGGGTTGTGGGTTAGATTCCCACGGGGGGCCAGTATGAAAACGTATGCACTCACTAACTGTAAGTCACTCTGGATAAGAGCGTCTGCTAAATGACTAAAATGTAAAATGTAAATGTATCTCAAACCCCCCTTAGCCTCTCTTCCAACCTCTCATGTCTTTTCTATTGCTCTCTATTCTTCTCGTATTCTCTCTCTATCATCTTCTTACTCTCCCTATATTACTCCCCCTTTCCTTCCCTCTATGTATCTCTCATATCCCTCTCTTTCTCTCTGTGCAGTTATTGGATCAGTGCATTTATAGATGCCTGTATATTGTTACATTGCATTGTTTGCCACTTCGCCACTTCTCCCCTCCAAAACCAAATATGCAATAAATAAATAGATAAACAACATAGCGACCATCTCCATGGCAACAGTGCCAAATGGCCTAAATCAGATTGCAGGAATAAAACAATGGAAAGATAGATTTAATTATCAGACACCTTAGAGGCAGGTAACCCAAACAGATTTCGACTACAGGAGATGTCCGACCTAGCAGATACACAATCCAGGGAGGTAACTAGGTGGACTTTCACCAGAGAGTAGGATAGGAGGAGAGGAGGACAGGCTGAGGAGAAGAAAAAGAGTGTAGTGGGGGTGAAGGTGGGGGAGATGAGGAGGAAAAGGAGGAGGAAAGAAAAATGACATGTGGGGGAGGAAGAGAGGAGTAGAGGCAGAGAAAAAGAAAATGAGTATGATGAGAAGAGGCGAAAGAGAAGAAAAGGGGAGTGGAAGAGAAGAAGAGGGGAGTGTGGGGGAAGAGGACAGGAAGAGACGCAGAGGAAAAGAAGCGGTGAGTGTGGGGAGAAGGACAGGAAGAGAGGTGGAGCAGAATAGTGGGGGAAAAAAGTATTTAGTCAGCCACCAATTGTGCATTAAAAAGATGAGAGAGGCCTGTAATTTTCATCATAGGTACACGTCAACTATGACAGACAAATTGAGTTATTTTTTTCCAGAAAATCACATTGTAGGATTTTTAATGAATTTATTTGCAAATTATGGTGGAAAATAAGTATTTGGTCACCTACAAACAAGCAAGATTTCTGGCTCTCACAGACCTGTAACTTCTTCTTTAAGAGGCTCCTCTGTCCTCCACTCGTTACCTGTATTAATGGCACCTGTTTGAACTTGTTATCAGTATAAAAGACACCTGTCCACAACCTCAAACAGTCACACTCCAAACTCCACTATGGCCAAGACCAAAGAGCTGTCAAAGGACACCAGAAACAAAATTGTAGACCTGCACCAGGCTGGGAAGACTGAATCTGCAATAGGTAAGCAGCTTGGTTTGAAGAAATCAACTGTGGAAGAAATTATTAGGAAATGGAAGACATACAAGACCACTGATAATCTCCCTCGATTTAGGGCTCCACGCAAGATCTCACCCCGTGGGGTCAAAATGATCACAAGAACGGTGAGCAAAAATCCCAGAACCACACGGGGGGACCTAGTGAATGACCTGCAGAGAGCTAGGACCAAAGTAACAAAGCTTACCATCAGTAACACACTACGCCGCCAGGGACTCAAATTCTGCAGTGCCAGACGTGTCCCCCTGCTTAAGCCAGTACATGTCCAGGCCCGTCTGAAGTTTGCTAGTGTGCATTTGGATGATCCAGAAGAGGATTGGGAGAATGTCATATGGTCAGATGAAACCAAAATAGAACTTTATGGTAAAAACTCAACTCGTCGTGTTTGGAGGACAAAGAATGCTGAGTTGCATCCAAAGAACACCATACCTACTGTGAAGCATGGGGGTGGAAACATCATGCTTTGGGGCTGTTTTTCTGCAAAGGGACCAGGACGACTGATCCGTGTAAAGGAAAGAATGAATGGGGCCATGTATCGTGAGATTTTGAGTGAAAACCTCCTTCCATCAGCAAGGGCATTGAAGATGAAACGTGGCTGGGTCTTTCAGCATGACAATGATCCCAAACACACCGCCCGGGCAACGAAGGAGTGGCTTCGTAAGAAGCATTTCAAGGTCCTGGAGTGGCCTAGCCAGTCTCCAGATCTCAACCCCATAGAAAATCTTTGGAGGGAGTTGTAAGTACGTGTTGCCCAGCGACAGCCCCAAAACATCACTGCTCTAGAGGAGATCTGCATGGAGGAATGTGCCAAAATACCAGCAACAGTGTGTGAAAACCTTGTGAAGACTTACAGAAAACGTTTGACCTGTGTCATTGCCAACAAAGGGTATATAACAAAGTATTGAGAAACTTTTGTTATTGACCAAATACTTATTTTCCACCATAATTTGCAAATAAATTCATTAAAAATCCTACAATGTGATTTTCTGGATATTTTTTTCTCATTTTGTCTGTCATAGTTGACGTGTACCTATGATGAATTACAGGCATCTCTCATCTTTTTAAGTGGGAGAACTTGCACAATTGGTGGCTGACTAAATACTTTTTTCCACCACTGTATATAGAAGAAGAGGGGTGTGGGGGTTAAGGACAGGAAGAGAGGTGGAAGATAATATATATAGAAGAAGAGGGGTGTGGGGGAGAAGGACAGGAAGAGAGGTGGAGGAGAATATATATAGAAGAAGAGGGGTGTGGGGGAGAAGGACAGGAAGAGAGGTGGAGGAGAATATATATAGAAGAAGAGGGGTGTGGGGGAGAAGGACAGGAAGAGAGGTAGAGGAGAATATATATAGAAGAAGAGGGGTGTGGGGGAGAAGGATAGGAAGAGAGGTGGAGGAGAATATATATAGAAGAAGAGGGGTGTGGGGGAGAAGGACAGGAAGAGAGGTGGATGAGAATATATATAGAAGAAGAGGGGTGTGGGGGAGAAGTACAGGAAGAGAGGTGGAGGAGAATATATATAGAAGAAGAGGGGTGTGGGGGAGAAGGATAGGAAGAGAGGTAGATGAGAATATATATAGAAGAAGAGGGATGTGGGGGAGGACAGGAAGAGAGGTGGAGGAGAATATAGAAGAAGAGGGGTGTGGGGGAAGAGGACAGTAGGAGAGGTGAAGGAGAAGAAGAGGGGAGTGTGGAGACAAAGAGGGGATTGTGGGCTGAGCTCAGGTGTCTTAAAGGAGATATTGTGTGCCTTATCTGTCACCTGCAGCACCTCTGCTCTTATTTTAGAGAGAGAGAGGAACTGCTAGGGGAGGGAACATAGATGGTGTGTGTGTGTGTGTGTGTGTGTATACCTTTGCGCGTGTGTGTTATGTAGATTAAACTCCCCCTTCTCCTCCTCAGCACAGAGGGAAAATAAACACGGTAAACCCTGAGCTTCACTTCTCTGCTGTGCTGTAATCTGTTCTGAAGGCCACGGGGGTCTGGGAGATGTGTATGGAGGAACATGTCAACTGTCTCTGCAGGAACAACAAGCTAGAGTCTTGCTTCTGACTTAAAGTCTGCAAAAGTTGGCTTGGAGTGCAAGAGGAAGCCAAGTATTGAATCCTAGTGAACACTGTTAAGGATAATAATGGTGCCTTGTGATTGTGATCCCATTAGCTTGTAGCCGTGATAGCATGTAGTTTGTGTGTAGTTAGCATGCAGCTGCATACCTGCGGTGGTCAGGCAATACTGCTCTGTTACATGTAGTTGGCATGTAATTGACGTATGGCTGCCTTTCTATGGTGGTCATTAGCATGTAGACATGTTAGTGTGTAGCTAGCGTGTAGTTATGTAGCGTGTAACTCCTTACCTGCGGTGGTGAGGCAGTGTTCCTCATCACTGTTGTCCTGACAGTTGTCTTGTCCGTTACACAGGAAGCTGCGGTCCACACAGCGTCCGTTACGACACTTGAAGCGGGCCTCCAAGCACACCAGCGGGTTACCTGCTGTGAGAGGACCACAACACGACTCAGGGGTTAGAGGTCAGGGTTTAGAGATTAGGTATGTGATAAACATACTGTAGGCATTGTTTTGATTTGTTTTTATAACCACCAGCTCCTTAACACTAGAAGTGCAGAGACCAAACTGTGCACAGCTCCCCGCGAGGAGAAACTGCCAGCTGGGCAGATGCACTCGGAACAGAGCCTACAACACCTGTGCCACCTGCAAGCGACATGTTTATGGGAAGTGTTGCAAGCAACACAAAGCAACAAATATTTGTGTCGACTGTAAGGACAAGGGATAACAGCTAAATGAGATCCAACTGATTCCATTGCATGAAGACACACGCCACTCTGTAAGCACGAGTGAGGCCAGAAATAATGTGTCCAATAACGGACTATTTTTGCTTTAGTGCTGATTTTCACTATTTATCAAGCACACTTGGCACTTATACTGATGTTTAGGATACTGATATTTTCTTTATTTGACCGTGTGTCTTGCTGACCGTGCGTCTTAGTGGTTTGGGTATTTGTATTTGTTTTGTCATTGTAAAATGAAGCTGTTCCTGTGTTCCAATGCACATGCTTATTTTTTTATAGTTGTGCAAACGCACTCCATTAGTGGTTTTTAATTTTTACATGTAGCCTACAGTAACATTAACCACATTTTTCCCATATTCTAATGTTACCTAAGACCTTCATAAACCCAACCAAAGGATTATTTTTCCAATAGCATGACATTTATTTATTAGACCGTTAGAATGTTCACGCCCAAAAGACACGTCATTGGCTCAAAGTGGGGTCCCTCGTGGCCTGGCACTTTAGGTGTTAAACTGAAGAGCGGAAGCAGTCCAAAAAAATAAGAGAAACCTCAATCCAAAACATATACTGTAACACAGTCCAATTTAACAGAAACGTTGGGATTTTAGATAGAGAAATTTGAAGAGGGAAGTAATGAAAAAATGTAACACATTACACAGGATCGAGAGATACAGTAAAACCATTTGATCTGGGTTTTTGATTAGATAAAAAAATCTAACTCAACTAGCATGAGAGACATCAGAACACTTTGCTGCTTGGCCTTTGTTCCAAGCCTGGGCAGAATTAGGCAGAATTATCTTATGACAATATTCAGACAATTACGCAATGGAGATGATGTGGTCGGCTCTCAGAGTGCGCAGCTCCCAGCACACCACTGGCGACGCACACCACTGGCTTGGTGCGAGGGACAGGAACAGGCCGGGCCGGGCTGGCGACGCGCACCACTGGCTTGGTGCGAGGGGCAGGAACAGGCCGGGCCGGGCTGGCGACGCGCACCACTGGCTTGGTGCGAGGGACAGGAACAGGCCGGACCGGGCTGGCGACGCGCACCACTGGCTTGGTGCGAGGGGCAGGAACAGGCCGGACCGGGCTGGCGACGCGTACCACTGGCTTGGTGCGAGGGGCAGGAACAGGCCGGGCCGGGCTGGCAACGCGCACCACTGGCTTGGTGCGAGGGGCAGGAAGGGCCGGGCCGTACTGGGAACACGCACCACTGGCTTAGTGCGGGGAGCAGGAACGGGCCGGACCGGACTGGCGACACGCACCACTTGCTTGCCTAACCAGCTCCTCTCGCCGTGCCTCTACACCTTCCTTCTGCTCCCTCTGAACCAATGGCCCCCGTAATCTGGTGGCCTCCTCTCCTAACCAGCAGATCCGCCCTGTCGCGGCCTCCTGCTGCCTCGTCGTCCACACCGTGTGCCGCCCCAAAAAATGTTTTGGGGGGATTGCCTCTCCACCCTGATCAGGGCCTCCCTCTTTCTTGCCAAGTCCATCCTCTCTGCTCCTCCTCGGCACACTGCTTGGTCCAGGTCTGGTGGGATCTTCTGTCACGTTCGTTTATAGACGGGACGGACCAAGGTGCAGCGTGATATGCATACATGTATATTATAATGAATAAACACAACGACAAAACAACAAACTAAACGAAACGTGAAGTCCAAGGTTCAACAAACAACATACCTCACACGGAACAAGATCCCACAACCCACTAGTGCCAGTAGGCTGCCTAAGTATGGTCCCCAATCAGAGACAACGAGCGACAGCTGCCTCTGATTGGGAACCACACCGGCCAACATAGATCTAGACATACTAGAACTAAACATAGAAAATAGAACATAGAAAAACACAACAAGGAATATACACACCCTGACTCAACATATAAGCGTCCTCTGAGTCAGGGCGTGACAGAGTGTGAATACAGTATGTGGCTAAATAGAGAGTAGTTTCCATGACAATTATATATTAGGGTCATGATTGGTTGCGGTTGTAAGGATTATTATGGGATGGGAGGTGGTTGCCATGGGATACTCACTGCAGTTCTCCTCGTCGCTCCCGTCAGGACAGTCACTGAAGCCGTTACAACGGAAGCGCCCGATGATACAGTGGATCCCGTTGGCACAGGCGAAAAATGTCGGAGCACACTTGGACTTTATCTTGGCTGTGGGGAGGAGAGGGGGAGAGAGAGAGGGAGAGAGGGGGGGGGGGGGGGGAGAGAGAAGGGGTCTGTTATTTAGGATGATGGCAGAAATGTCTATGGATTATGGTGTGTCATAATAGAGTTGAGCTGTGGGGATAAGAGAGAGAGAGAGATAAGAAAGGAGAGAATGAGAAGGAGGGAAGGACAGCAGGAGAGAGGTGGAGAGGAGGACAGTGAGAGAGTGGGAGAGAAGGAGTGAGAGAGAGGAGGAGAATGGTAGGGAGAGAGGGATGTGTTATACCAGACAACCACTGTATATTACATGATGTTGATGGAGTGTCATTCATGGCCTTAAAATATCCTCTTATTGGCATTCTAGCAATGGTGCACTTATAATACAGAACTGTTGTTCTGTTATACTAAAGGTCAGTGAATTAATCAGTTCTACTTATCCTGCAGTACTTATTTGCACTTTCTCTATAGGCATACTGCCCTCAGCTTAAGAGCTACTGGTTGGAGACAGAATGGTAAGCAGTTAGGAAGGAGAGCAGGCAGAAAGCAGACAGAGACAAAAAGAGAACGTGGGGAGAAGTCAGACCAGAAAGACCTTGTTTACTTTGGCTGCTTTTCAATCCATTGCAGATAGTGGCTTTCTAGGGCCTGGATTTGCGTTTTGAGAAGTGCATAGATTTGCATAGATCCATGGAGTCTGTCCCATAGCGTGACCCAAACCTGCCATGGCAAATGAGTCCATATTAAAACTACTACCACCATCTGGGACATGCTACTGTGCAAATCAAAGCACCCCAGAGAGCGTTATCTAGATTTGAAATCCACTAACTGGAGGGCCTACAGCAACTCCTAGATCTTCTGCACAGATTCTGTCAGACCTGGGACCTGACAGTAAATCTCAGTAAGACAAAAATAATAGTGTTCCAAAAAAGGTCCAGTTGCCAGGACCACAAATACAAATTCCATCTAGACACTGTCGCCCTAGAGCACACAAAAAACGACACATTCCTTGGCCTAAACATCAGCGCCACAGGTAACTTTCACAAAGCTGTGAATTATCTGAGAGACAAGACAAGAAGGGCCTTCTATGCCATCAAAAGGAACATCAAATTTGACATACCAATTAGAATCTGGCTAAGAATACTTTAAACAGTTATAGAACCCAGTCTGGGTTCTGCTCACCAACCAAGAATTCACAAAATGGGACAGAATTCTGCAAAAATATCCTCAGTGTACAATGTAAAACACCAAACAATGCATGCAGAGGAGAATTAGGGTGATACCCGCTAATTATCAAAATCCAGAAAAGAGCGGTTAAATTCTACAACCACCTAAAAGGAAGCGATTCACAAACCTTCCATAACAAAGCCATCACCTACAGAGAGATGAACCTGGAGAAGAGTCCCCTAAGCAAGCTGGTCCTGGGGCTCTGTTCACAAACACAAACAGACCTTACAGAGCCCCAAGACAGCAACACAATTAGAACCAACCAAATCATGAGAAAATAAAAAGATAATTACTTGACATTGGAAAGAATCCACAACAAAAAATAATGCTATTTGGCCCTAAACAGAGAGTACACAGTGGCAGAATACCTGACCACTGTGACTGACCTAAAGGAAAGCTTTGACTATGTACAGACTCAGTGAGCATAGCCTTGCTATTGAGAAAGGCCACCGTAGGCAGACCTGGCTCTCAAGAGAAGACAGGCTATGTGCACACTGCCCTCAAAATGAGGTGAAAACTGAGCTGCACTTCCTAACCTCCTGCCAAATGTATGACCATATTAGAGGCACATATTTCCCTCACATTACAGAGACCCACAAATAATTCAAAAACAAACCCAATTTTGATAAACTCCCATATCTATTGGGTGAAATACCACAGTGTGCCATCACAGCAGCAATATGTGTGACCTGTTGCCACAAGAAAAGGGCAACAAGTGAAGAACAACCACCATTGTAAATACAACCCATATTTATGTTTATTTATTTTCCTTTTTGTACTTTAACTATTTGCACATAATATGACATTTGAAATATCTTTATTATTTTGGAACTTTTGTGAGTGTAATGTTTATGATCTATTTAACATGCTTCCCATGCCAATAAAGTCCTTAAATTGCAATTGAAATGAAATGTACTCCTGAGTGGCGCAGTGGTCTAAGGCACTGCATCACAGTGCTAACTGTGCCACTAGAGATCCTGGTTCAAATCCAGGCTCTGTCGCAGCCGGCCGCGACCAGGAGACTCATGGGCGGCGCACAATTGGCCCAGTGTCGTCCAGGGTAGGGGAGGGAATGGCCGGCAGGGATGTAGCTCAGTTGATAGAGCATGGTGTTTGCAACGCCAGGGTTGTGGGTTCGATTCCCACGGGGGGCCAGTATAAAAAAATATGTATTCACTAACTGTAAGTTGCTCTGGATAAGAGTGTCTGCTAAATGACTAAAATGTAAATGAATTTATTTGAGAGAGCGCAAGGCAAAACATGAAACGTGTTTTAGTCAACGTTTAATTCCCCCTGGAAAATGTAGTAACTCAGGCGCTATAGTATAGATTGAACTTTCTGTAATCCACCTCATACGAGAGTTACCAAGTAGGTGGCATAGCTAGCAGCCAGTTGAGCAACCAGTTAGCCACCAGTATGTGGGCACAGACACTGCATACATAACAGGCGGCTCTAGTAAAACCCAGCATTACAAAGCAAGGCCTCAAACCCCCTAACACTGACACAGGAAAGGCGGTGCAGTGAGTGGGTACACAGTACATCTCTCAGCCAGCCAACACCCAAACATCTCCCTGTGTTTTCCCCACTTTTAATAACAAAGAGAATCGGCCTGTCCATGGCTTGGCACAGCGCCATGCAAAATGCTAGGGGCTCACATTTCTCCCCCTATAATCCATTGTGGTAGGCCGATTTATGAGCTCTTTCAAGCTGTGCCGATTATGTGTGGTAGAGGGAGGGGTACGCAGAGCACCCGCATATTCTCCTCTTCTGGCTGGTGTGTGTGTGTGTGTGTGTGCGCACAGTCTGGGAAGCCTTTGCTTACCGCCACAGAGGAGGCCTTGAGCGCTTAAAGCCCATTTTGCATGGGTGGTATATCACATTCATTAAACAAACGCTGGGGAGAAAAAATACATGGCTCCGAGCTGTAGCACAACATAAAAGCAATGATCTAAACAGGCATGGCTGTGTAGGTGTAAATGTAAACTAATTTGACTGCAAACAATGAAGAAAAACTCAAAGGTTGTTGTTTTTTCTTCATATTTTCTCTCACTCTGTCTCACTTTGAAAACAATAAAAACAGGTTCCCGTCTGTCACATGTCTTGTTTGTATTTATTTTGGCTTCCTAAGAAAGTGATAATTCAAGCTGAGAATGATTTGTGGGTATGAGGTTGCTATATGGATCTCAAGTCTCAATCTGCCTCCTCTTGTCTGCTCCTTTCCTTCATCATCTACTCATACCATAGAGAGGGGATGAGGAAAGTAAGACCATTGAGATGCACCCTTGTGGAGGGGGGGATTTACCGCACGCTATACTGTGATATGACGCAACTTTTAATTGAGGAACCACTGTACTTGCTCTCCACCTCTCTAAATTGAAGTACTTCTATGTTGTTGTTTTTTCCACTCAGAGCATTGCTCTTTAACCTCCCCCCTCCCCTCCCCTCTCCCCATCCCCCTACCTCTTCCCCTCAAGTGACTCTCTCCCTCTTAGTTGAACTTCTTTCATTCCGGGCCAAGTTTTTTTCCTTCTTCTCTGGGCCTAAATAGAAGTTGTTTACAAAAACCAGCCCCAGTTTTTTTTCTGTGTTGAATGGCTTCCAAAGTTAGTGGCAGTGTTCAGCTCAGCAGCAAAAATTAAAACGAATGGGCCTGCAGTCAGGCCGATTCCTCCAGATAAGGCCATCACCAGCAAGAAAACACAACCTGATCTCAATGACACACACACTAACACATCGACGGAAGCACACACAAGCGCAGAGGCATGCGCACGCATGCACACACAACACACACACACACTTCAGGGGTGAGTGCTTTTCCTTTCAAATCTCTCCTAAACCTTATCCAAGAGGGAATTCTTAATTGCAAATTTGTTTGCCATAAAATTTCCAAGCATGCAAGCAGCAAATAACATTTTTTTTTTGCTTGAATTAAATACTTTGATTTTCAATTTTTCATGCAGACATTTGCAGCCAAACGAAGGCCCAGAGCTGCATAGTACACATACTGTTGAACCTTAGAGTAGCTGGGGATTCATTTGAGCCTCTTTATTATAGATTGACAGAATGAAAAGCACACTATTGTTTCTTCAAATCCAATCAAATTGTATTTGTCACATGCTTCGTAAACAACAGGTGTAGACAAACAGTGAAATGCTTACTTACGGGTCCTTCCCAACAATGCAGAGATATATATTTTTTTATAATATATATATATTTTTTTTAATGAGGAATAAATACACAATGAGTACCGAATCCTTGGCTATATACAGGGGTACCAGTACCAAATCGATGTGCAGGGGTACAAGGTAATTGAGGAAGATATGTACATATAAGTAGGGATAAAGTGACTAGGCAACAGGATAGATAATAAACAGTAGCAGCAGCATATGTGATGAGTCAAAATAATTAGTGCAAAAAGGGTCAATGCATATAGTTGAATAGTTAACCAATAGCTACCCGGACTAACTATTTAGCAGTCTTACGGATTGGGGGTTGTTCAGGGTCCTCTCAGTTCCAGACTTGGTACATCGGTACCGCTTGCCATGTGGAAGCAGAGAGAACAGTCTATGACTTGGGTGCCTGAATTCTTTGACCGCCTGGTATAGAGGTCCTGGATGGCAGGGAGCTTGGCCCCAGTGATGTACTGGGCAGTCCGCACTACTCTCTGTAGCGTCTTGTGGTCGGATGCCAAGCAGTTGCCATACCAAGCAGTGATGCAGCCAGTCAAGATGCTCTCAATGGTGCAGCTGTAGAGGTTTTTGAGGATCTGGGGGCCTATGCCAAATCTTTTCAGCCTCCTGAGGGGGAAGAGGCATTGTCATGCCTTCTTCACGACTGTATTGGTATCTGTGGACCATGTTAATTCCTTAACGATGTGGACACCAAGGAACTTGAAGCTCTCGACCCGCTCAACTACAGCCCTGGCAATGTGGATGGGGGCTTGCTCGGCCCTCCATTTCCTGTAGTCCACGATCAGCTCCTTTGTCTTGCTGATGTTGAGGGAGAGTTTGTTGTCCTGGCACCACACTGCCAGGTCACTGACCTCCTCCCTATAGACTGCACATCGTCGTCGGTTAGAGAGGCCGAGGAGTTGAAAGGATGTTATCTGACCTTGCCTGTGCGTTTGTGAGGGAAGGAAAATCGATGGGTAATGGAGTCTGGGTGAAAGAAAGGAGGGCAGACAGAGACTCAGGGAGTCTGCTAGGAGGCTGGGAGATCGAACTAATCAATCTGGCCCCTTCAAAGTCCTGTCCCAGTCTGGCGCCGTACAATACAATAACCTTCTGAGGGAGAACAACCTACAGTAGGTTGGCCCTAAAGAGCAGCATTCAGCCTTGCTTTTTCTTGGCCCTGAAACTTTAATGGAACATATGATCACGCCAGGCCAGCAACGTTCAGGCTATATTACAGAGTGACTCCCATACGCTGTATGTATTTACAATGATTGAAAATAGCAACATTTCAGTCGGGCTACGTCATAAACCATCAAGGCACCTTGTGCAAATGCTTTCCTAGTTGGTGATGCCACAGGGCCAGCAACCTTCTGTCAAGACAAGTGTGTGCAATATCAATTATGAAAACATCATGTCGAACGCATCTGCCTTTAGAAAGCTGGCTTTTTTAACGGATGGTAAGACAGAGAGGGATACAGACAGGCTACTTGGTGTAGAGAATGAGCGTTGTACAGTGCAGCGATAGATCTCGCCAATAAAGACTCTGTTGCAATATTCATCAGAGGGGATCATATCGCCTAATAGCCTTGTTTCAAGTCAGCGCATCCGACAATGTGTGCTCTACAACGGCACACTGGCATTTATTTTTATTTTGTAGATTTCAGGGAAGCCGCTTTGCTGGAGCGCAACTGTCTGAGGGGCAGGGAGGGAGTTCAATCTGAAGTAGAAAGAGACAGAGAGAGAGACAGAGAGAGACAGAGAGAGAGAGAGAGAGAGAGAGAGAGAGAGAGAGAGAGAGAGAGAGAGAGAGAGAGAGAGAGAGAGAGAGAGAGAGAGAGAGAGAGAGAGAGAGAGAGAGACAGAGAGATAGGGGAGAGAGAGGAGAAAGAGAGAAAAAAAGAGGAAGAAAGAAAGAGAGCGAAGCCTTAATCAATATTTCATCCTGGTCTGTGGTATTAATTACAGCAGCTCATTGATCAGTCATCCATTAAGCATCTGGGCTGCACCAGACCTATTCTACATCCCTCTGCTCTGCACTCCTCTCCTCCCTTCCCCTTCCTTCTACTACCCCCTCTTCTTCTTCTTCTCAGCTCCTCTACTATCTTTTTCTATCCTCTCCTTTCCTTTCCTTTCCTCCCCTCCTTACTCGTCTCAGTTATTCTTCTCTCCTGATGTATTTGTTATTATCAATGTGTGTAATAATAGAAAGGTCTTCCTTTAATGTTGAAATAGATGGTCTCCTCTCCTGTGTGGTGTGTGAGGAGTGTGTCTGAGACGGAGCTGTAACAACAGATATAATGCCACACACGCTCCCTCTGTAATCCCCAAAATCCTCTCTGGCCTCTCCTCCATGATACAGACTTCCCATAAGCTCCACACTCCCACTGGCCAAGGAAAGACATGGAGGGCCAAGGGAGAGATGGAGTGAAAGAGAGAGAGAGAAAGCGAGAGAGAGAAACATGCACATTGCACACATGTTGCACGCACGTTTCGCAGACACACACACACATACGCTCAGAGACATTGTGGTGGAGCTGAAAGGATCATGGCCAAACACAGCCAGTAGGAGATGGATTCCTACACAGAGAGGGCAAGGCGTTCCGGGATTTACAGATGGCCACTCATTTTCACCCCTTTACTTTTTCTGCCTATATTCCCATCTCCCCCTTTCTCTCTCTCTGTCCTTTGTCTATGCCATCAGCTCCTCTCTCTCTCTCATTCTCTCATCATCCTCCCTCTCTCTCACCTCTCTTCCCCTCCCTCCCTCCTTCGATAATGTTGGGGGTTAATCTCCACTATGAGGACATGGGCCAGTAAGCCCAGTCAGCCCTCCTCTCCTCTCCTCTCCCTCCTCTCCTCTCCTCTCCTCTCCTCTCCTCTCCTCTCCTCTCCTCTCCTCTCCTCTCCTCTCCTCTCCTCTCCTCTCCTCTCCTCTCCTCTCCTCTCCTCTCCATACATAGAACACATTCACATGCGCACGCACAAACTTGCACATGCATGCATGTATGTATGTAGGAGCAAACTACTGAGACCCACATACAATCTATTCCTCAACCTGTCAACAATAAAACACACAAAACAAGACGTGTTCATTTGGGACATGCTTTGCAAAGGAAAATATGTATATATGAAAAATGCTTAATTTGTAAAGGGTACTGACCTTGCATTTGCTTTGCAATACTGTAACCCAATAACTTACATGTGTAATGTAATAATATATTTCAAGGTTATGTTTTATTTCTCTGTCTTGAGGAGATATACAAGCACACAGAGATATTAGACTTTATTCTCTGTGTGCTGTAGATGTTGAATGCTTTTTTAAAGCGAGCGGCAGTATTAACATGCGCAATTGTCTGAGGGGCAGGGAGGGAGTTCAGTCTGAAGTAGAAAGAGAGTACGAGAGAGCTAGAGAGAGGGGGAGAGAGAGAGAGAGAGAGAGAGAGAGAGAGAGAGAGAGAGAGAGAGAGAGAGAGAGAGAGAGAGAGAGAGAGAGAAGCACACTCAGTCCTATCAGGAAGAACAGATTCTGGTAGAGAGAATAATAAAGCAGAGAAAGCAGAGAAGGGGCAGGAAATGCACGCCAGGTTTCTATGACTCTCTGGGCCAAACTTTTCAACTGGTTGTCATGGGGATAGGATGCAGTAAGGAAGACAGCAAAAGCTACTGGGGCATCGAGATAGCAGCATATTTCCTTGGTTATGATCAAGGTGTGTATGTGTGTAACTATGTGTGAAAAAAAAGTGTGAGCTATCATTGTGTATGAGGTGTGTGTACAAGTACATAGCTGGATGTGTTTACTTGTGAGTTTGTGTGCGTGTGTGTTTATATTTGTTAGTGCGTGCTTGTGTGTGTATGTTTATACATTGTCTGAGTTGCATATGCATACAGTGGGGGAAAAAAAGTATTTGGTCAGCCACCAATTGTGCAAGATGAGAGAGGCCTGTAATTTTCATAATATGTACACGTCAACTATGACAGACAAAATGAGAAAAAAAAATCCAGAAAATCACATTGTAGGATTTTGATGAATTTATTTGCAAATTATGGTGGAAAATAAGTATTTGGTCAATAACAAAAGTTTTGTCAATACTTTGTTATATACCCTTTGTTGGCAATGACACAGGTCAAACGTTTTCTGTAAGTCTTCACAAGGTTTTCACACACTGTTGCTGGTATTTTGGCCCATTCCTCCATGCAGATCTCCTCTAGAGCAGTGATGTTTTGGGGCTGTCGCGGGGCAAGAAAGTCACAGACTTTCAACTCCCTCCAAAGATTTTCTATGGGGTTGAGATCTGGAGACTGGCTAGGCCACTCCAGGACCTTGAAATGCTTCTTACGAAGCCACTCCTTCGTTGCCCGGGCGGTGTGTTTGGGATCATTGTCATGCTGAAAGACCCAGCCACGTTTCATCTTCAATGCCCTTGCTGATGGAAGGAGGTTTTCACAAAAAATCTCACGATACATGGCCCCATTCATTCTTTCCTTTACACGGATCAGTCGTCCTGGTCCCTTTGCAGAAAAACAGCCCCAAAGCATGATGTTTCCACCCCCATGCTTCACAGTAGGTATGGTGTTCTTTGGATGCAACTCAGCATTCTTTGTCCTCCAAACACGACGAGTTGAGTTTTTACCAAAAAGTTATATTTTGGTTTCATCTGACCATATGACATTCTCCCAATCCTCTTCTGGATCATCCAAATGCACTCTAGCAAACTTCAGACGGGCCTGGACATGTACTGGCTTAAGCAGGGGGACACGTTTTTCACTGCAGGATTTGAGTCCCTGGCGGCGTAGTGTGTTACTGATGGTAGGCTTTGTTACTTTGGTCCCAGCTCTCTGCAGGTCATTCACTAGGTCCCCCCGTGTGGTTCTGGGATTTTTGCTCACCGTTCTTGTGATCATTTTGACCCCACGGGGTGAGATCTTGCGTGGAGCCCCAGATCGAGGGAGATTATCAGTGGTCTTGTATGTCTTCCATTTCCTAATAATTGCTCCCACAGTTGATTTCTTCAAACCAAGCTGCTTACCTATTGCAGATTCAGTCTTCCCAGCCTGGTGCAGGTCTACAATTTTGTTTCTGGTGTCCTTTGACAGCTCTTTGGTCTTGGCCATAGTGGAGTTTGGAGTGTGACTGTTTGAGGTTGTGGACAGGTGTCTTTTATACTGATAACAAGTTCAAACAGGTGCGATTAATACAGGTAACGAGTGGAGGACAGAGGAGCCTCTTAAAGAAGAAGTTACAGGTCTGTGAGAGCCAGAAATCTTGCTTGTTTGTAGGTGACCAAATACTTATTTTCCACCATAATTTGCAAATAAATTCATTAAAAATCCAACAATGTGATTTTCTGGAAAAAAAATTCTCAATTTGTCTGTCATAGTTGACTTGTACCTATGATGAAAATTACAGGCCTCTCTCATCTTTTTAAGTGGGAGAACTTGCACAATTGGTGGCTGACTAAATACTTTTTTCCCCACTGTATGGGTCTCAGTGTGTACAAACAAGTCATTTACAAGTCCAGCCAGCCAGCCAGCGCTCCAGCCGGTACCCCTCTGGCTATATCATTTCTAAAAACAAATTCTCATTAATGAGTCATAGGGGATATCCGATTGAATATGACCTTTACTTTCAGCTCCGCACGAAGAACCCAATTTGTATGAAGGCCGCCCACATCAGGGCTAACCACTGGCTAGGTAGCCTTGTCTTCTGGGGGGTTAGGCAAGAAAAGCAGAGTAATGATTCTCATCCACAAGACAGAGGCAGAGCAGGGAGCTAAAAGGGCAATGATACTGTACTGCATGGACTGGTACCACCTTCTGGTGCAATACAGCTGACATGGCATCACTCACATGGGTGCTACATTTTAGTAGATGAGGCAAGTTCCTTACTTCCTACCTTTACTATGTAAAGCACTTGAAGCACTTGGGAAATAGGCTATACCCACACAAAGTAGTGATTCCTATTCAGGACACAGAGGTAGGGCAGCTAGCTACCTAAAGGCTAATCTAATAACAGGGTAGTCCAGGCTTTAGCCAGACTGCAAATTGATCGCAAGAAGCCCAAACATATATAATATTTGACTAAAACATAATCATTTTAACCTTGCTTAAATTTGTATACGATCACATACACAGAGTATACAAAACATTAGGAACAACTGCTCTTACCATGACAAACTGACCAGGTGAATCCAGGTGAAAGCTATGATCCCTTATTGATATTACCTTTCAAATCCACTTCAATCAGTGGAGATGAAGGAGTGGAGACAGGTTAAAGAAGGATTTTTTAAATTGAGACATGGATTGTGTGTGTGCCATTCATTTACATTTTACATTTTAGTCATTTAGCAGACGCTCTTATCCAGAGCGACTTACAGTTAGTGAGTGCATACATTTTCATACTGGCCCCCCGTGGGAAACGAACACACAACCCTGGCATTGCAAGCACCATGCTCTACCAACTGAGCTACAGAGGGTGAATGGGCAAACCAAAATATTGAAGTGCTTTTGTACGGGGTATGGTAGTAGGTGCTAGGCACACCAGTTTGAGTGTGTAAAGAACTGCAACGCTGCTCAACAGTTTCCCGTGTGTATCAAGAATGGTCCACCAACCAAAGGACATCCAGCCAACTTAACACAACTGTGGGAAGCATTGGAGTCAACATGGGCCAGCATCCCTGTGGAACGCTTTCGACACCTTGTAGAGTCCATGCCTCGACCAATTGAGGCTGATTTGAGGGCAAAAGGGGGTGCAACTCAATATTAGGAAGGTGTTCCTAATGTTTTGTGCATTCAGTGTATATCTCTATTAGGGTTGGGTGGGGATTTAAGGTATTACCGACTTAGTACACAAGGTGGCGACAAAAAAGCCCAATGGGCATTATTACCAGAATGATAACAAAGAGTAGCACAAGTAATATAGAATTTCCATGAACGCAGCTAGCTAAATATTCTAATGAGCGCAAAAGAAAATAAAAAAATTACAAAGACAGGCAATCCAGCTCATATATATATATATATATATAAATATATGAGCTGGATTGTTCGCTGGTCCTCACTACACATTCGTCGCCAAACCCACTGGCTCCAGGCCATCTATAAATCACTGCTAGGCAAATCCCCATCTTAGCTCATTGGTCACCATAGCAACACCCACCCGTAGTATGCGCTCCAGCAGGTATATCTCACTGGTCATCCCCAAAGCCAACACCTCCTTTGGCCGCCATTCCTTCCAGTTCTCTGCTGCCAATGACTGGATAGAATTGCAAAAATCTCTGAAGCTGGAGACTCCTATCTCCCTCACTAACTTTAAGCGTCAGTTGTCAGAGCACCTTACCGATCACTGCACCTGTACA